AGAAAATTATACTTGCAGACTCTGATATAGTATTAGGAATCACCAGTCATCATCCAAAAAGTGATTTTTCACATTCTGGTAATATATTGCTCAGTTATGCACTTTCACGGATCGTAAGATTGTAGGAAAAGTAATTCTTAAACTGAATTACATTTGGAGGTAACCTTGATTGGTTTGGACCAGATAAGACTGCCATTCATAGAGTAACCTCTAATGACACAGTGGATGGAGTTATGAGTCTGAAAGATCCAGAACCTTGGAGAACCATGGCAATGTTTGCAATTTATCATTAACTGGAGTGAAAAACCTCAGATTCACAGCCAACAAAATGTTTTCCATTTGCTCGATCATTTAAGATCATTGTCTGTGTTGCTGTTTGTTCAGGACGGAGTTACACGTAATAGTGATGTTTATTGTCTCCATGAATTTGAATTGAGCTTCAACAAGAATGAAAAAAAACAGCTGTAATGCAGTGCCCCACCTTATGCTCCCTTATCAGAAACTAACCAAACTACCACATATCAAAAAGGGAGAAGATTGAAAGGATAAAAACTATATAAGGTATAAAATTATTGTTTTAGAATCAAATATATTATAGTTATAGAATCTGTAAGATAGAAAAAAAAGTATGATCATACAGCATAAAATATTAAGTTTCCATCAGAGTTTGTCACCTCAATTTATATAATCAATGCAAAGAAGGAAGGTCAAATTAAGATGCGTAACCTATGCTATTACAGAGGCAAACTGACAGAACATTCATGACATCCATTTTATTGTAAGTTGGTCTCGCAAACTCTGCCTGTTTCTTAAAACTAAAATCTGGTCGGTGGATTAATGAAGTGCCGTTGGGTTTGAATTGCAAGGCGATGAAAATATTTGTCGCATTACACTATATTCACAGTTCTTTCCGTTTTTCATTAAAAAGTAATTATGGAAAGTGTGGATTGCACTTTTGGTGCTAATGATATGCTGTAGTTTGGTTAGTTTCTGATAAACATCCTGTATTCTCAGGGGTGCTTAGGTGTGTGAATTTATGAAGTGTGAAAATGCTACTGTTTCACTGGGTGTAAATATTATCTGGCATGCGTTTGGTACAACACATCTCCCACTTAGTCACACTCTGGCCCATTTGTTCAAGGTGCTGCAGGATTAACACAATGTTACTCAGGATCAGAAGAATGGACATCATTTTGTCAAAAAGAAGCGATTTCACCTCTTGAAAAATTACTCTTACCCATTGATCATTGGAAATAATGTCAGGTAGATTATAACAGTAATAATCCTTGCATTTGATACAGAGCCTTATCACGTCTTCAAGGTGTTTCATGGAATATACTGTAAAGTGAATTGACTGTATACTTTGTGGGCGAAATGTGCCACTGTTGAAGCAAAAGATTTTTTTAAAAAAAAACACCTGTGCTATCACTATATTGAATGCCTTAGATACGTTTTTCCAATTATTAATCCATGGTTTCTGTTTCAAGACAGGAGCATCTGAATGATGGTTCTAAGAGACATTTGAAAAATAAGTCCACCACAATACCTCTTTGATAAAATGTCTATAGCAACATGTGTTTTGTTTTTGCATGCTCAGATTGATACATCCAGCTGAGTTAAATTGTGGCTTTTCAGTACAAATTCCAATATTATTATGAATTATAGTTATCCCGTTATCCATTAAGATTCGGTAATTTTGACAGGAAAATTAAATGCCACCTGTATAATGATATCTTTATAGTATGGAATTACTTCCAGTTGGAAACCATAAGTCACCATAGCTCCAAAGAAGTATGAAAACCACATGTGCTGAGTATATTACCAATCCACATCAAACAGTACAGTGGAACATAGAGTTTAACCCGCTTCAGCCTACAGCTTCTGAGAAAGTTAATCAAAAAATATTTCAGAAGGAGACGGTGCAAAACTCTTGCTATTATTTCAAGAAGTCTACGTTAAAAAGAGGTCAAACAACTTTTCTGACACCAAAATGAGAAATAATGGAAAAGTAATGCCAATTTTTTTACAGTCTGTAACCTACGTAGTAGTTATTTACATCAGTAAACTGTAGGAAGCTCCCTCCCACACTACAACTGTTCAGTTTACACATTTTACATAAGGAGCAGCTTTATGCCCACGCTGCCAGAAACACTCCTGTACACATTACCACTGTGTAAAAATAAAATAGTGTAAAAATAGTAATCAGAACAATTCCTTGATAAGTTAGAAAACAGCTACGCTCCAGCATTGCAACAATGTGAGGAACTAGAGAAGATTTGATTGAGAACATTAACTATTAACTATACATTAGTGAAAAAAAACACAGAATTCATGTTGTCTGAGGGGAAATGGGTGCAAAGTACAAAGTACCTGTTTTATGCAGGTGTTAATACACACATGAATATCGAGAGTCTGAGATACGTGCTGGAAATGGCAAGATGGAATGGATAGCATCATGGTGTTCAAATTCACATTTTGCTGTAACTTTAATCATATATTGTTGCACAGGAACCTCCTCTGCTCCCCACATCAGTGAACAGTAATACCCTGCTGTCCTTTCACCAAACAAATCTGGTAGTTTAAGAGGAAATGCATCCAACCTTTCATTAACATCAAAATCTGAAAATCATTTTCTCGTATCAATTTTCAAGAAGTTATATAATAAATAATAATAATCTTTTCAGATCGAGAGGACTTCTCAAAATGTTTCACAGGAAGCGAATCACTGTGCAATGACTATGTATTCTTAGGCAAACGCCTATATATTTTATCATATGTATATTTAGAAAATAAGAAATTCCTTAATGACTCAGAATGAGGTGGCATAGATTTAAAATTAATACTCAAATGACAAACTATAGATCCAAAAGGAAGCACAGGTAACATTGCTATAAATTCACAGACAACTTAGTAGATTTGCTGTAGATGGTGAAAGGTACAAACCGATTTAAAATATGTTGGAACCCTCCATTGAATCGCTACCCACTTGACTGCACAATCAATTGGGTTTAGGTTTTAATGATAATGAGCATTGGATTTATTCATTAAAGGCTCATCTTTGTTTCAAATAAGGCATGGTTGGAAGGTCAGCTATATATTTAAACTATCATAGAAGTAGAGTTAATGATATTCAGGGTGAAATCAATTTGGTTTTAATAAGATATTGACCCACATAGACATTACAGTATTTCCATTATTATCAATGGGATTTATCTGAACAGTTTTGCTGTGATTTATTCAGAAAGACAGAGACCCCATCAATAAGAGGTGACTTTGACTTTCATCCAGGATAATAGTTTGAGCTGAGAAAAACGATTTGAATTTGAATTAAGAAGGTAGACTGCAATTTGAATTGAAATGGAAAGGAGAGATCGGAATTCTGGTAGAAAATAAGGACGGGAACAAAGCCTAAATTACCATTCAAGTGGAGGAAATGAATGACAGTTTCTGTTCGGTTCATTTCAAACCCAATTCCTTTTCTCAAACAGAACTGAAATACATCTCATTGAGGAAACGAATGCCAAAATAATTTTCAAATGAATGTTTATTCCACCTTGATTCTTTCACAGTATCAAATAATAATATTAAAAATTGGATTTTGGATATATTATATATATTATATATAGTGGACTTCCACTTCTCAGGAAAAAATGCAGGTTCACAAGCTGATGTTACACTTTGCTCCATATAAAACAAGCAGTTGGTGACATCTTGTGGCAATGTTTTTCTGCTACATCAACTATAGTTAAAATACCTTGTTCTTTTTCGGTCCAGACAAATATAATATAAATGTCACTATTATCATTCCATTATTATTTTATTTATACACAATGGTGTAAATATCTAAATTTAATACAAAGCTAATGTGGCCTATTATCTGATTCATTGTTGTCCCTGTTTTTATGCATAGATCAGTATTTGTATATGTTGCAGGAAAAGACATTTTTGGAAGTGGCAGCCAAGACCTTGGTCCATGTTTTTGTCACCTCCTGCCTCAATTATTCCAATGCTCTCATCTGTCTCCCCATCTCCACGATCCACAAAATCCAACTAATTCAGAACTCAGCCACGTATGTACTCCGTAACCCCTTCACACCAGTCCTTGCTGGGCTCCATTGGCTCTCTATCACAGAACAGATCGACTTCAAGGTCCTCACTCGTCTATGAATCCCTTCATGCCCTGGCACCCGCCAATCTCTCCAATCTACGTACTCCCCACTCCACCACCCGCCTCTGCTAATCGAGCTCCAACCTTCTGCTTGTCCCTCGTCCCTTCACTCCACCATCGGTGGCTGTACTTTCAGCCACTATGCCTCGAAGCTTTGGAACTCTCTCCCTCAATCACTTTGCCTTGCCTCCTCCTTCCCCATTTTCAGATCACGCCTGAAGATCTTCCTGTTTGACCATGCTTAAGGTCACTTCCTCCCTCCCCCAACCGCCCCCCAGGTTGGGGTCAAGCTCTGCCGCAGTTAAGCACCTCAAGACAATGCCCCACATGAAGGGCTCTGTATAAACACAAGTTGTTGTTGTTATCATAGAATCGTACAGCACAAAAAGAGGCCATTCGGCCCATCGAGTTTGTGCCGGCTCTTTGAATAGAGCGATTAATGTCAATCCCACTCCCCAGCCCTTTCCCTATAACCCTGCAAACCCGTCCTCCTCAAATATGACCACCCTTTCAGGCTTGTTATTATAACAACAACTAGCTTGACAGGTGCGTCTCTCATTTTCTCGTATCTAAGCAACAAAATGGGAAGCACATTCAACAAGAACAGAACACTGAGTTGCAAGAACAATTTTGTTGGATTCTTACTCTGCTGTGTGTGCTGACAGTCTTAGAGCAGGTTAGAAAATAGATTAAACTGGATTGTGCTGGTTTACTGATTTTATCAACAAAATAACTGTTCACGTGGGACCTCATCAATCTACATATACTGGACTGTTTTCTCCAGTGGCAACCAATACAGTCCTGTGAAAGTTTACCTTTGGATTTCCAGAGTATGGCTGAACAAGAGCAATACGTCTTGCCTTTAAAGTTAAACGTAGGTGGCAGAATTTTTGAAACTTTTCCAGACACTCTGGAGAGAGTTCCTAGTTCCAAACTGAGCCGGCTTCTCACTGGCTCAGTGCCCTCCATACAGCAAATAGGATCCAGGGAGTATTTCATTGATAGGGACGGGTCTTTATTTGGTTACATTTTAGAGTTCCTCAGGACCTCTGAGCTCCTGTTGCCGAGCGATTTCTGCGACTACAACCTGCTCGTGAAGGAAGTGGAGTTCTATGAATTGGATTCAGTATTGTACGTATTAGAGAAACTCCAGAAGAAAAGCATGGCAGAGATTTTAGAGATGCGCTGCATTCGAAAAGAAACAACAGCCTTTTTCCGGATCTTTGGCTCTTCATTGGAAACAGTTGATGAGTTGTCCAGTAGAATATCAATCTACATGGAGAGAAAGATGGGACCGTGGGCTTCTGTCCAAAACATGTCTCCAACTCCTCCCAGGAATCTGTCATTTCATGATCTGATCTTCCAGTGTGGTGCTAACCCCGATGAGAATGGAGGACACGTAAATGTGTAAGTACAATATTGAATTCATCAAGTCATTTAACTACCGTTCAATACCAATACAAATCTAATGGGCTGTCAGGGGTGCACTAAAGAATGCAGCTACTTCTCTGCAAGCACAGGAAAAATCAGTGGATGAGTTATCCAGCCTTGCGTCACACCATTGACAGAATTCACAGAAATCAAGGAGCAAGTCTTAATCTTAACTCAACCTTCTCATAAGGATAGGCAGGAATCAATTTAATGGGGAAACCTAAGGAGACTGGGAAAAATGCATTATAATAGGAGTAAAAAAAAATCAATGTCTTAAAAACTGAACTACGATTGTAAAACATATAAAACCTGAAAGGGCACTTGCCTGGGCTCAAAATACGAGTAAATCATACCTTAATCTTTCTCTTATACCTCACAATCATAGCATTGCACAAGGCAAGAACAAATAATTCATAGGTTCATGTTTTGAATTAAGCTCCAGAATGTTGGCTTCACCTTGCCAGGTCTGCCCACTCGAGTCATTCCAGAAATGATCTTCATTTTGTCCCTCTAATTATAATGGATCTGAAATGAAAACAGGATAAAATCTGTTGTTTATTAATTTTCTAGCATGCTTAATGTGTGAATAATTAATAGTTTATTGCTATTATAGACAATCTGATAATTGGGAATCACAAGTACCTCAAAATCCGAGCTTCATGAAAACTTCTATTGTGCAGTATCAACAGCATTTGTACAAGGCTTGTGAAGTCATACAGACTATGATTCAGACACACTTTGGCTGTGAGGATGAAACCTTTTGTCGCAGATAGTCATAAGAAAGCAATTTCTTTGTTAATATCAACGGCAGTGACATTAACATTGCAAATATATCCCAGTTTTTGTGCATTCTATTCTCAGATATGTTCAGATAGCGCCAGAGCAAAAGAAAATCCTTTCAGACTTTAATGTCCTGGGAATTCTCCTCAATTGCTTGATATTGGATGGATTTCAACTCCAGAGTTCAAGAACAGTCAATTATCAAGAGGACACGGTTGAATGTTATACTTTCAAACGCAACATGAACTGAACCATATTGAGAAGAATTGGAGACTGACTCCGTTGTTATCCGCTGCAAGTCACACAATTCTTTATATTAATAATAATAATCCTTGCATTTGATATAGCGCTTTTCACGTCAGGAGGACGTCCCAAAGCGCTTCACAGAACACACTGTAAAGTGAATTGACTGTATATTTGTGGGCGAACGCGGCAGCCAATTGCGCACAGCAATGTCCCACAAACAGTCATAGATTGAAAATGACCAATTTAATTATTGTTTTTAGTTTTGGAGGGATTATTATTAGGCTCTGTGTGGAGTAAGGAAACTTGCCCAAGGTTTCGCCCTGCCTGGAATTGCAGGCTCAGTGCACGCATAACTAAAAACTATCACTTATCAACTATTTAGGAACACTGCTGAGGAGACAAAGACTATTCTTTGCTTGTGCTTTAATGGCTGAAAAAAGTGATGATCTGATCAGTGCAGTACACAAATACCACAACATGATGCACAAATAGTTAGCATAAAAGCCCACATTGTCCACCAGAGGGCTCGCTGAATCAGGATTATGCATCTTCATTTAGTTGGAGAGACTGAAGCAAACAGTTAGCATTACACAATGGGGCAGCTATTAGAGTCACTTACTTTAACCAAATTATATACACAGTCCAGTGATAGGTATTCATCTAAATGTTAGTGCAAAAAACTCCTGCAAAAATACATGGTGTTGCCCTAGTTTATCTCGATCTTCTGGCCAACAATTGCCCCGATGAAACTGATCATTCATTTCATGGCTGTTTGTGGCAAATTACTGTGCACAAAATCTGGCTACAGCATTTAACTACAAGATACAGTCACTACAGCTGACAGTAAAATCACATGAAGCACTTTAAGATTCTCTACTTTTGTACTTTTATTAATAATAATAATCCTTCCATTTTATATAGCACCATTCATGTTGGGAAGGGTGGTCTATCAAACGCAAGATTTATTATTATTAAATAGTACAAAAGTAGAGAATCAACGTTAAAGGCAGACCACATTTGGAATACTGTGAGCAATTCTGGTTGCCATACTGGTATTTGAGAGTGGAGTGTGAATTTACTAATTGTTACACCACCTTGTAGCCTGACAACAAACGGTAAAGGAAAAGTGGGAATAGGTCATTAACCAGATCGTCAGATTGGAGCTGATACAAGACCTAGAGTCAAAAGAGATTTCATTCTCGAGAAATTAATCCAATTTTTCAAAATGGCTTCATTGCATTTATCTAATTGCTGCATTTATTTTGGAGTAGGTATTTTTGCATTAATTCTGTTAATATAAATGCAAATGCAAAGTTAACAGTAAGGGTAAAGGTGTGTTGGGCACTACTAGAACCATTTCAGTTGACAGAACCTGGGGATCAATTCTGTAACTAAAGCATTCTGAAGTGTCATTAAAAATGCACTTTTGCAAATATTCAGTAGTTGAACTTCAACAATCCAAATCAATGAAACCACCCAATATATAAGCAAAATATGGATTGAAGTTTTACCTACTGGTTCTCCAACCAGTGAAACTCATTTACTGAAGAGTTGCTGGAATGTATACAGGCCTGGGGAAGGCTCTTTAACAATAAAAAATCTACGTACCTTATTTGTTAAGAGGCATCATTGGTGTCTTTGTTCCAGTAACCTAGCCTCCACGGTTGTTAGGCCACCCAGGACAAACAAGTCGTAGGAGCAGCCCAAGATATTCTCGAAGCCACAGCAATTGCCAACACACCAGTATGCAAGGTGGCAATGTGTTTAAAGAGAGCACAATTGTGTTTAATTAACACAAATATCAGTTTCCTCCCCACGTATATATGAGACGCTTCGTCTCATATATACGTGGGGAGGAAACTGATATTTGTATTAATTGGTTTAAACTCTTCAAACAGTGCTATTAAATGGGTCAGTTTATCACTGTATCTTCTTGAGTTTGTGATAATCAAAAATACTTATATGTGAATGTATATTGCACTCTAGAACAAAAGCATAGATTTATGCCTATAGAACAACCAAATATCTGCACCATACCCTGTTGGTAAATAAAAGGTTACCGTAACTAATTTGTGTGTTTATGAGTTGTTCTGAGCCCAAGTACATATCATCTGTCATCAATGATACATCTTGTTGACAGTGCTACTACACATCAGAGCATCACAATGGTCATCCAAAAGGAAATACCTGTGTACGTAAACATACAGAAGTTTCTCATTCAATACATTTAGTTATTTCTTCAAATTAACGGTGTCCATCACCAAAAAAAATTGGCCACTCGATCCACGACTCTTTGTGGGACAATGCTGTGTGCAATTGGCTGCCGCATTTCGCCCACACAACAGTCAATCCACTTTTACAATATAATCCGTGAAGCACTTTGAGACATCTCCAAGACCTAAGACGCTATATCAATTGCAAGTATTATTATAATATTCAAGGTTTTATTATTTCTTACCCAACTTTTTTTTTAAAAAAGCACACTTGTAATAAGCAGATTGAAAAAGTCCTCACATTTTATTCCCTCTTTCATAAATTAAAAATATCTTCTGCCTCCAAAAGCAGCAATAACAACAACATTACAGCATTCTACCTGCTTGGCAGTTAGTGGTATCCATATGTTAAATTCAAAATATCTTAATTTAACAGTACACGCCTGCAGACACAGACATAAACATCAAAATGGAAAACAAAAAAGGAAATATGCAAAAGGCACATTATTACATGTGAAATCTTCCTCTGCTAAATGCACATCTTTTATCAAGTTTTATTTTTTGAAGATCCTTTGGACATCAATCTCTGGTGCAGTAAAACTCAGCAAATGTGTATGAATGGCTTTCTTTTCTTAAAAATAAGATACTGATCTATCTTTTGAAATTTGTCACATAAACATCCTTTACAAGTGAATAAAACTATCATTAAAATTATACTTTAGCAGAGGGTGGCTGGAGCAACCAATAATCAGGAATTAGTCATGTAGCCCCTTTTTCATTAATCAATATACTTAATGCAAATCAACCTGTAGCGTTTGAGGAATCTATAAGTGATCATCATTTGAAGACCTTGTAAATAAAGCGCCTTTTTATGGGTTTCCTACATGACGCTAAGTAATTGGAAACAATCTTTTACTGGGTTTTTGCTGCCTCTTGTTTCTGTTGTAGGTATATCAAGTTCTTCTTTCTTTGCTGGTCCCTTAATTTGCTTTAACAATCTTTAAAACTTCCTTGATGCCTGCACTCATTAACAACCTGGCCACATCTGTGCTGGTGCAATGACTTTTTACAATGTTTATAATTGATGGGAGTACTGAAATTTAATGTAAAATTTGCAATCTGAGCTTTGGGAGTCAACTACAGAATTAAAAATGATGAATTAGGTTTTATTGAGTTTACCGTCTCATTCGCTAAAAAAAATACTTCAAATAGTGGTATGGGATATAGTATTAGTGTATTTGCTGTTCTGATATAGTAAAATCAATTAAAACCAAAACAAATTGATCTCTTACCACTGCATTTTAATAAATATAACTACAGGGATATACTTTAGAGGCCTGTTTATTATAATTTGTACAAGGCAATTATGTCACTGATATACTCAGCAACTGCCTTTGAAAACAGAAACTGCATTTTATAAATGAAATCCATTCTTTTATTACAATTACATTTGGATCCACTGATTTTAGTTCTGGGAAAGCTGGTCTATTATAAATAGCTCATCCTGAAACAATAATACCAAATGTAATCAAAATCAAAAATGTAGAATATAGAACAGATGATAATCAACAACAAAAAATTGCATCTATGTAGCACCTTTCACAAGTCCCGGACATTCAAGGGTTTGCACCTGAGCTAGGGTTCGAATCAAGACAGGCGGGAGCCAAGGGGGAAGGCACTGGGGTGAATAAATACTGTATTACTTTGGGCGGTGGTGGGGGGGGGGGAAGGTTATCACACCTTAGCTCACTGTAGATTTAAGAAATTCATCTCAATAGTAGAAAGAAAGTAGAAAGAAAACAGTTTGATTATTTTAAATGAAATAGAGCTACAACCTTGTATCGTTTTATTAAGAATGGAACACTCAGCTGTATTGTGTTGTTTGTATAAATACCAGTATAAACAATATTTAGCAAGGTATTATTCAGGGAAAAAATTCAGTTTGACTGTGCAGTTTTCCCAAAACTCTTAAAACAGAAACCATGGATATCTGTGCAACTTCGTTCATCGGCAAGCTTTTTAAAAGGTTCATTCAATTTTGTTTTTGCTTTTCGAAAACAGTCTGAGCTACTTTTTTTTTAAAAAAAGCTAAACATTTTGATGAAGATACAGCGATTTAAGATAAAGAATGCCATGTGTTTCAAATATGTTAGAGATTCATCTTGTTGTGTAATAATACATGGAAAGGATTTTTAAAAAAGCAAATGTTAATATTTTTGCTTAGAAAATCATTACAGAATGAAATAAAATGGGCCAATTTGCGACAATTGACAAATCCATTGCTTGAGAATTAAAATTTACTGGAAGATAGCTCTAGTTATGACTGATTAGCTTGGTTTATATATTTTCAAATTTATTTTGGTAGATTCCAAATCCAATCATAAACAGAAATCCTGTTACACAACGGTTTGACAAAACTTCATAGTGAAGTGCTTCATAATGATAGTTTATTAAAACACATTTTACACTGAACATGGCAGAAACTCCCTCCAACACACACATACACACATATTACTGCACAGTAGTCTGACAGTACCAGTTCTCACACCAACAAATCACTCCACTCCTCTCGCAACAAGACTACCTATTTAAAGGTATTTTTTGTACTGTCCCTCACATCCACAACTGGATTAAAACTGCCCCAAATAATTTCCCTTGGGACCTTAATTAATTAATGAACGGTACAAAACTAAATGTATACAAGTTCTCAAAGATTCACGATTTAAGGTCCTTACACTCAGTCTGAAATGCACTCGTCTTTTTCATTTCCCTTTTTTAGATGTAGAACATAACCACTGCATACAAAACTGAGCGTCACCTAATAGATATTTTTCATGACAAAGATATCCACGCAACTTTGAAAATTGAAGGCTGCATCTTGTTGTACATAAATCAATGGCAAGTGTGCATTTTACTTTCCCCAGCACCTTGGGACATCCTTACAGAATTTAACGAAAGGGTCCATGAGTCTTCCTTACCGTTGGTAAAACTGAACTATAAGTAGAGAATGCAATACCAAAATGTTGAAGCATTGCTCAGTGACAATTTTATGATAAATGTTTCAGTACAAATCTGCCACAATCTCAGTGTCACCATCATTTGCAGATTGTAATCAGCTATGATACCAGAAACAACTCAACTTCAAAATACCTCAGATATCAGTGACAATAAATTTAAGAAGCCCCAGTTTACACTGCAGCATCTAATGGGGATAGAACTAGTAGAGCCTGACAGCATTAATTCAAGATTTGTGAACACATTAAGGAAAGAGTTTTGCATAAAGAACATTTATATTGTTGCAAATCTTTTTCCTGGTTTAAATTAGAACATGACGGTATAACATGTGCCAACAGGCGAGTCCTTAAACCTGTTTTGGTGCATCCTGGGCATTTATGACGAGGACCTGAATGAACAGTAATCTGGATTTATACTACTAAGAGGTCTCCAATGCACGGCGACATGTATCCTGAGGTGATGCTTTGTAGGACTAGGAATAAGATGTGATAGAGGCGGAACAATCAAATTACCATTACCACAGTGCTCCACAGGTTTCATTCGCAGATATTCCTGACTATGTACAAAGGATACAATGTGATCTGCCATCCTCACATCAACTCAAGACAAACAATCAGATTGGAGTAACTCATTCATTAGCCAAACTAACCCAATGTACATATATTACTAGAGGGAAAGATCTCTACTGTTAGACAGCATTGAAGGTCGCACCGATCACAGTTTTAGATTGCAGTCTCAATTCACATCTTAAAATGTGATTTGTAAAAATATATAGCTCATTTGAACAATAATGGAAACTAAATGCCACAAAAATTATGCACATTTTGAAGCAGTATTTCTCTTATGATGTAATGTCTGGAATAATCACACACACCTTTGAAATAGCAAAATACCAGCTGAACCATCTGAATATTCACCTGAAAAACATGACTTATAGGACAAAATAAATCGTCTCAATGAGAACATTAACAATAAACATTGCTTCACTGTGGCCAGCCCTTCAGTAAACTCAAAAGACTCAAAATGTTAATGAACGACAGAATTCATGTAGATTCTTCAGCCTTGCTGAAGGAGAAGAATACGGCAACATGTTGTGTATTGACAATATAATCAAGACCACTTGAATTAAGAAGTCTGCCTAAGTCAATACAGTGAACAGCTTTGGATTTTTTAAATCGCAAATTCAAGCCACACGGCTGATTTTCGTTGCATTTAACCCCACTGACAAACATAGAAACTGGTTTATTTTGCATGATTATTTTCCATCCCTGAGGTGAATAGCTACAGATTTCTCCAATGATCTTTGTTCCCCTCCCCAATATTTTCCACAGAACTCAACTCCAATTATAGTACACCTTATACATATATATAAAAAAAATCTAACAGCACATTCCTATTCCAGTCTCTCGGCTCTTTGTCACATTGAGAAGGTTTCATCTGGGAAATAAAAGAGCAACTCTTTAAACAGAGTTAAACTGGCTTGATGTCCATAGCTCAAAGCTCAGAATGCGGAACATGATCTGTGAAATAAAAGATACAATATAGATTAGAGCTCAGTTTTCAAAGACCAAAAGTTCAAGTGAAATACAAGCAATAAGGTTTTACATATCCATCCTTTACTATCCGGCTCTTTTCCAAAGAAAATGCTGCCACCTAGACCTCTTTTGGAGAGTTAAGTACTTCTGCCTGAACCACGGTTACAGCCGTCTGAATTGTTCCCTCCAGAATCTACCTATGAACTTTACCAGAGCTTATGTGCACACAGTTATCAAAGAAGAGTGCACAGGTTGGAGCTTTTCTCTCCAGAGTTTAGACGATTCAGAGGGGATCCTCGTAGAGATGTTAAGATTGTGAAAGCATTTCATAAAATAGATGTTGATGGTCTGTTTATACTGGATGAGTCCAAAATGAAGGGCATAAATATAAGATGGCTAGTCATAGATCTAATTTCTTTCAATGTGGCAAAATGTAATGATATATTTGTCCCCTTTACACCCTTACCTTCTATGGATGTAACATTTTCTGTACCAACATGAGCAAATGCATTTAATTTCCCTTCTTGGAATTGCTTCTGAAACTGTTTTATCTCCTGGTCATAGTCCTGCCATTCAGGAACAATACGTACAGCTGCCTCCAATTTGGGTTCTTTGGTCATTGGATTATTACACTAGAAAATCAAAGAAGAGATCAATCATTAAGATTTTAGCCAACTACAGAACACAATGCATACAGAATTAATGCAGTCTTTATCATGCCAGTGATTTTTGTGTTTCTTAAAGTAACTTTCCCTTTGCCCTTTGCAGATGATCACAAATTGCAGTGTTGTTAGGATATTGTGAATTTGCATATTTAATAACAGATGCACAACACTATATAGTTTTAAAGCACATAATCTAGGTTGATAGATCCATTTTGGTACCCCACTTCATGCCAAATTCACATTTACCTTACTATATCTTGGATCCCTCTATGTCACTTAGTATATATATACACACACAAACAAACACACACACACAGACACATATATATAAACACACTCATGTACTAACCAGATCTATAGTTTTAGCTTTTTTCTTTGAAGATTCATCGCACCATGTCTCACACCAGAGCCACTCCTGGGGAAGTGATTTAATGGGGACCTGATGGATCATGTTGTTCGGCAAATCCTGTTGACAAAAGATGCATCGTTATTACAAGAAATCCCTAATTTACTATGGACATCTAGGTCTTCAAAATTAATATGTCCCATTTGTGGTTGGTCTAACTTCACCTTGTATTAAATGTGTTTTAAATGCTTTGAGACATCCTTAATTGTAAATTGTGTTATAAGAGAGCAAGCAATTTGCTACATGCCTCAAGTGAACATTAAAGATTCCATAACACAAATAAAAAAAAGAACTTTCTCTTGATATCCTGACCAAAAATCTTCCAGATTAGTTGGTCATTCATCTGATGGATATTTGTGGAAGCCTAAAATATTTGCCTAAAATAGAGTTCACTACCCTTGATAGTAATTACTTGCAACTTACTTTGAGAAGTTTCAATGTGTTAAAGTATTAACAGAATGCACGAGACAAGGGGAGGGGAGGGGATGTTAAGTGTCTACACACCTAAACTTTTGCTACAATATAAAGAACATGAATATAAAAACAGCTCACAGAGAATCTTTCCATGCAAATGATAAAACAGGTAATCCCAGGACTTATTTTTCATGAGCAAAGTGACTACAGGATATTGATCACCCGAGAGCATTATTTCAACAGGGCAGCTGCTGCAGCTGATCAAGAAATCGCTTCCTTGCTTCCCTGGTATCCACAGAGACATCAGGCCATTTGGCAACACTGAAGTCTGCATCTCTAGATACTGTTGCCTTTCTAAAGATTTACAAGGTGCTGTTCACATTTCAGTGACGGCAATGCCATTCCTGGGTGCCTGTCTTTTCAGATTCTTTGCAGTTGCACTCTTTACAATCCAACAATATCTCATGAATATCACAGCACAGCAATTGTATATGTATAAAAATACTACTGAAAGGTAGATAACCTACAAACCAGTTCACATACTGAAAATAAATTATCTGGATAGATGTTACCAGAAGTGCACCGCAGATTCCAGAATTAATGGAGGAACTACACTAATATCTTCGATCTACAACATAATGAAATACACACACACACACACAGACCTGATCGAGATTGGATAGGCTGTTGGGGTCCTGACTGAGACCCTGATATTGTCCTCGTAGTCGATCACCAGCAGCAATCTTTCTGAACTTCTTTAAATCCACTACATATAAGGCACTAAAGGGAGAGGGCGATAAAGGTAGTGTTTCTTATTACATCATGGAAATGTTAAAATAACAAAAAAGATCTTATTTCAATATCCAATTACAAAGTGCCCCATAGTGACTGTACATTATTTACACATATGGCAGGCCCCCTTGATTGACCCTTTCCTCCAATCATCACAAACAATAATCGAAACAAAATACAGTGTAATCAGGAAATGGTTCAGAAACATAGGTGTAGTGCCACTTTGTGCCTGATAGTGACACTGCTGAATGCAGTGATCTTTGTAGAGGCTGTAATGTTGGGCACAGGCACACAGTGGCACTGTAGCCATTTGCAAACTGAATATCAATATAAAATCTAATCTAATTTTTGCTAAAACTAACATTACGGAGCTCATTGTGCATGGGATTAAGTGGAGAGGAAAATAGCGGCAGTGTTCAAAATCTACTGTAAACTCACATGATTTAACTTTCTAACAAGAGGACTCTTAAAACCAGACAACTGAAAACTTCTGTCTTTAATTCAAACTTCAGATGGCGATAAAAAAGGAATCAAGTCATTTTGGAAAACAACTGGAATAAGCAGCCTTAGTCCTCATTCAATGCAAAATTCCTTTCGGCACTGTTTCTGTAATGCTACCAACACAGAGTATTGGCTGGGTAAACAAAAACAAATACATCTATACAATCCCCAGAATCGTACCTGATGTGGTACTTCCTTCCCTGCAGGTGATTTGCCCAATAGCCAGATTTCCAGAAGCGATATCCATCCATCTCCCTGCGACTTTCACAGAAAGGGGTGTAGCCATACGGGGCTCCATCGAGGTCCAAATCTCGGAGCTCCTTCAGGTCAGTGCGCACTATCTGTAAACGCAGAAGAAATAAATCCGTCGCTTCCAAAACCACACATTTATAAACATCTCATCTATCAACACGCATTGCAATTAAGAAGCTTGTACAAAATGAAGATCAACTTTAGTGAATACATTCACTACATTCAATTTGCAGCTCTTTAATCTTTAAAAGAGTTAAATGCATTTATTGGAGATGAACAGCAATAAGAAAAAAATAAGTACATATTTGAATTTCTTAACTTGTCCTTTCAATATCCTCTCACTGTTTAACACTATCCTAAGTTCCCATTTACGATCCAGAGAAACATTCATTTGCATTCGATATTCAATAATTTTTTCCATCGCCCTTATATAGACCAGTGAAGTGCCACCTGAGTCTGTATTGAGAGCGGTTTTCAGTTAAGGAGTGAAGGGAAGCTATTTGTGGTCTCAGCCATGCTGAACTTGGAAAAATGAAAAACAAAACACAGCGAAGGTACATGCTCCTGATCACTGTAAAGCACGTGTGTATTCGTTCAGTGAAGGACCGGGAGAAAGAAAATGCAGAACTAGTATTCTGCAACCATACACCTTCACTATACCTGATCAGCATCCACAAACAGTATCTTGTCAATTGCCAGGGGGAAGAGCACATCGAGGAAAAGAATCTTGTAACCCCAGATGATTCGCTGTTTATCAGTCTGTTGGTGGAGCCATCGGGGCCACTTGTACTGCACCAGCTCATATTGGAAGCCATATTGCTTTGCCATGTATGGGATAAACTCCTGCCAGAAGCCAGAAATATAAAACAACGTAGAGCTTACAGAGTGCTTAAATACATAAAATTCTGATATTAACATTTGTACAGGATATTCAAAGCATTCAACTGTAGTGACGTAACTCCAATTATTCCTTTGCATTAGGTGTACTGTAATGATTGTTTTGTAGTGAAACTTATAGGAATTTAAATTTGCATGAGAGAAAGATCAATTGATACTTAAATAAGCTCATTATTTAAATATTTCTCAATTCAAGGAAGACAATAAAGCTTCTGAGTATATTTTGTGATTCTTGCATTGCTAAAGCGCAGTCAGAACACAGAAGTTTCCAAATATCTGCCTGCAATATTTGACAAGTCTACTGTTAAAATACCTTGAATGTAGGTGAAAGGTAGTTTTTAAGGAACCAGAACTTCACTGGTGTTTTGGTTTGCTTCAGTACAGATAGCATCATTATTCTGTAGGAAACAGGAAAGAAACAGTAATTGAAAATTCCCACAAAAACACAGGCTGTTAAATATAGAACTCAATTACATGACAAAGCATGAACAATTAATCAGAAAATAATGTATTTGAAAATTTGAAAAGAATTTCATTGACATCCAACCTTCTAACAGTGATTATAGTGAGTTCTACAACACATAAGATTTGAAACAGAATTCTTGAATTAAGAAATTAATTAAGAAATTAAGAAATCCCAAATGAAATCGGCACATCTTAGATAGCAGTAGTGGATAAATAGATTTCAGAATTGGTTTTTCAAACACTGTCATCCCTCCAGTACACTATAATAATAATCCTTGCATTTGATATAGCGCTTTTTACCTCTTCTCGACGTCTCAAAGCGCTTCACAGAATATACTGTAAAGTGAATTGACTGTAAATTTGTGGGTGAAACGCGGCAGCCAATTGCGCACAGCAACGTCCCACAAACAGTCGTGGATTGAAAATGACCAATTTATTATTGTTTTTGTTTTTGTAGGGATTATTATTAGGCTCTGTGTGGAGTAAGGAAACTTGCCCAAGGTTTTGCCCTGTCTGGAATTGAACCCAGGTGTCTCACTTTTATTTAAAAAGAGGATGCCGATGCAAAAACTTCCATATGATCCTGGAAATAAATAACTTTATTTGCCACAATAAACATACAATTACATTTTTTTTCATGCAGAAGTGGGTCTATGGATATCTGGATTAAGTTGACTCGGTGAATTACTCATCCATTTTGCACCAAGAGTCTTATTTGATTGCGACTGACTCTATTTTAAAAAAAATAACTTGGCTCCTTGAGTTAGCCTTGCAGGATTTCAGACGCCCAAACTTTCAAAACTTGTTTTGATTGATAAATTGCCAGAACAGTAGAATATATCAACAGCAAGAGGATTTTTTGTGCAAGCCTGAAGCAGATATGAAAACAATTTTTAAAGCATTCAACAAGGTTGATTGAAATGAAGAGGGCAGACCTGAATCTATTCCTGCAAATTCATATCCAAGGAATAGATGTTATTTCGGAGTTCTGAAATAAAACGTTTGGTAGGTAATAAGGGAAAATATATTGTTGCAACTGACCTCAAGAATCTCTCATACAAGTGACCTGAAGCAACTGAGAAAATATTGATGACATCTTCCTTATCTGGTTTGATTTCTTCAGGTTTTGGTCCTCCAGTAAATCCTCTGAAAATAAAGAAAACAGATGACATAATTATATGCACCTTTTGAGAAAACTGAAAGGTCTTGCCAATCCTGCAAAAGTCAAACAAGATATTCATTATGTGTCTGACGATCAAGATATTCATTCCCACAAGGTTCACCGATTATCTGGTGAAAGTCCTATGTATTTGAGAACTACTTCAAAGTTACTGCTGGGCTGCATCACCTCCTCATGCACAAGAATCTATGAAAAACATGACCAGTTGTCTTTCAGCTCACCCGACACATGGCTCAGGTCCATTTGCTAGGTAAATATTGATCAGTCTAATATCACTCTACTTCCTACCAACCGTTTCAAAGCTTCAATTCAGTCAACATTCACCCTTGGGACGTCCTTCCGACGTGAAAGGCGCTGTACAAATGTGATCTTGTTGTTGTTGTTGTTGCTAGGTCTGCCGGGTATTTCATTAACTTAATATTCTCACGTTCTCCACATTTGGGTGTCAAATAGATTGAGAGTAATATATGCACATTTAAGAGGTAAAAATATGGATGGAGATACCAGTTAGGACTGAATAAAGTCAGCCCTTGTCTTCTGATTAGGTATTTTTGCATACTGATTTGTATTCTCTTCAGCAATATTCAGTATTTTCATATCTATACCATATTTATGATGGCTGTATTGCTCATTGCAAGTTGTTACCTTTTAATGGATTCCCAGAAGCCTTCGTTTTCAGCATTGCCATCACTGAGTAATTCTTCCTGCACGTGGTCAGGTTTCTTTTGCACCTGCAAAACCAGAGCCATATATTTTATTGTATAGAAAAGTATACATTGATGAAATTTTAGACCAATTCTTTCAGCATCCATCAATGTATGGACAAATAATGCATATATTGCACTTCCAAGAAAGCTTTTTTTTTTAAAAAAATGAATTCAGGTTGTAAAGTGCATACGTGATTCTGAACTTAAACTACAGTCATTAAACTATATTAGTCATCAATTCTTCAGTTTTTCAGATGATAGCATTAAAACAGGTATTATCTACCAATTTAAAAAGAGGACATTTCTGCTGAGTTCCTGGTCAACAATTTTCCTGATTAGGCCAAATTGGCTGCTGCATTCACCTACAAATACAGGCACTATTCTAAATGGAATTATTATATTAAACGGTGCCCATTATCATCTGGGTTCAATTCCAGGCAGGCCGAAACCCTGGGCAAGTTTCTTTACTCCACACGCCTAATAACAATCCCTCCAAAACAAAACAATAATAAATTGGTCATTCTCAATCCACAACTATTTGTGGGACGCTGCTGTGCGCAATTGGCTGCCGCGTTTCACCCACAAATATACGGTCAATTCACTTTACAGTCTATTCTGTAAAGCACTTTGAGACGTCTAGAAGACGTGAAAAGCGCCATATCAAATGCAAGGATTATTATATCTATATATATTTAATTGCTTGCAATAAACACACCTTCATTTTAATAATTTTGCTTTTGAAGCTGTTCAGAACCACAATCACTTCTTCAGTCCCAGGTGGAGAGTCAGCTCCTTCATGGCTGAATAAAAGGGGGAAAATAGTCACAACAAAGCACAAAAATAAAAACATTTAGAATTATGCTAAATTTAAAAACTTAACATTTTAAATACAGAATTATAGAAATCTTCCCTTAACTATCAAATATAGTACATAAGCAGTGTAAGGAATCTTATGATTAAGTTGTATTACTTAGAGCCTGATACAAATAAACCTTAGTAAAATGCAAGTAAAGCTCATTGGTTAATTGCTATTTAGCCGTCCTCCCACAGCCACTTTCATCATATTAATATGAATATTGATAATTTAACATAATATAGGTCACAAACCTGTAAATCTTATAAATATCCTCCGATCTTCCCTTCCTTAGTCTAAGTGCCCAAGCACCAGGGTTAGCTTTTAGCTGAAAGTAGCCCTATTAAAAGAAACAGAAATCTGCATCAATGGAGTCATAATCGGCGAGCAAATTTAAATATGGCATAATATATAAGGACAAGAGCAAAGGTTTTATAAACTAGCAGACTTTGAAAAGGAACAATATAAAAGGGTACAGGAAAACTGTAGGAAATTATAATTAGTGTAGCTACAGGGAAGGAGTTAGCTTCTTGCATAAGTTGGTTGGGCCAAATGGCTTCCTTCGTAACACTGCATGTGCTACCAGGAAGGATGGAAGAGTCCAGATCACTTGACTCATTTATACAGCTGGATGCTCCATTGAAAATAGGGACAGATGGTATTCTGCAAGGATAAGATGAAATCGGCAGATGTTTATTTCATCCAAACCTCTTTATGATCTTGTAATTGTGTTTACAGGAACATTTCATCGTGTGAGAAATGGACTGGATCATTCATTCAAATATAAACGCTCAATGCAGCTTAAAAACAAATAAATTGTTGAAATTCTCAGAAACTGTGGCCCAATTGAAATGTTGATAGGCTGATGAGATAGCCTGAGGCTCACAGAGAATTTCAGACGATTCTAGATCTCGTCAATAAATGTATGTACTCCAATTAGCTGTTATTCAGGCTTGGCCGCTGAAAGAGAACTCACTGCCACATACCAGGTTTGCCATTACAATTGTGTCAACGACAGCCGGGTTTGCGGAAGTTCCCAGGACAAACTGGAGGCCTCGTGGAGGTTGCCCTGTTGTAACGTCGTAACAATGTCCCTCCAACAAAAGATATTCCAGTTCATATTCTGCTGCTACGCCACCATCAATCTGAAATTAGAGTTAGGATGAGAAGAAAATCATCATGGATCATAAACCATTGTATTGCTATTGAATCATATTAATACCTACATTTTGTAACATGTTTCTAAAAATATGCTAAAAGGATCAAACCCCTGATGTACGGAATATATTCAGGGAGCAGCTCCGGGATGCTACCCCACGTGAAGGGTGCTGTATAAATATAAAGTTGTTGTTGTTATTGAGTGTTGTTGAGTTGTTGTTGAGGATCGATTTCAAGCTCCTCATCCTCACCTACAAGGCCATTCACGGCCTTACTCCCTCCTACCTCTCCGATCTACTATCCCGCTTCCTACCTGCCCGTACCCTCCGTTCCTCTGGCTCCGGTTTGCTCCACATCCCCTGCCCAACCGCCCTACCATCGGTGGCCGGGCCTTCAGTCTCTCAGCCCCGCAGCTCTGGAACTCCATCCCCCAGTGCCTTCGCCGCCTCCTCCCTTTCCTCCTTCAAGGCCGGTCTCAAGACCTTTCTCTTTGACCGTGCCTTCAGCTCCCCTCTCGACTCTCTACCCCCTCCTCGCTCCCTCCCCTCCCCTCACCCTGACCATTTCCCCCTTGCTCGGGTCCTGACCCAACTGTCCAGCGCCTTGGGACGTCCTCCCGACGTGAAAGGCGCTCTATAAATGGAATCTTGTTGTTGTTGTTGAGTGTACTTGAATTCCATCCATGGGCAGCCTGTGCAATGAAACCTCTCTGAATTTATGAAAATACTGCAATATATTTATAGTGGCAAGATGATGCAGATTATTTTTAAATTCCAAATATCAGAGTCAATCTAATACAAAAGGCATTTTAAGTGGTTCTATCATTTTGTGACAAACATTCAGAATTCCATTTAGTCTCTTCCCTAGTTGTTACCCAACAGTCATAAATGATTGTTAGGTAACAAGGATAAGACCATCCCTCCACCAAAGGGGTTAGTATTGCTTCTGTGTATTGTGTTATTCAGCCACCATTCACATTCTACTTATTAAGCTTTTACACAAACATCTCAAACAACCCCACATGCAACTATTAATGAATAAAACCCACTTCTTCCAGGTAAATGTTGTCAAGATCATATGATGTACGAACAGACTCCACCATCCAGCTTTCAGGGGTGTTCAGAATAAGAGTGAAGAGTGGAGACTGAGGCATATCCAAAAATTTGGCCACTGGACCTGGAGCAAAACTTCCATCTGCCATGAATGCTATCTCAGGCTCCAGCACATACCGATAAAAGCTGTAAATTAAAGAGGGAAAGCTAATTTATATTTGTGTACACTGCAGCAATTCATATATTTTTCATATTTTCTGTAATGATGTCCAGCAACAGTTGGCCTTAGTGTGTGCTTGTGAATGTGAGTGTATGCGTTCGCACATGCGTTCGCACATGCGTTCGCACATGTATGTTCTCTTTCAGCAAGTATGCAATCCACAAAGTCCACAAATATTCCATCAGCAGCTCTTTGTTGCCTGGAACATGCTACTGTTCCTCACCTGCTGGTTAACCAGTCAAAATGAAAGTTAATAAAGGATATTTTGCTAACTACATTAGAGTTGAATAAAATCATTAAAGTATACAGCTGTTGTTCATATTTTATGGCAGTCTGTTGTTCATTTGTTATCTCCACATAATTGCACCCAGACTAAATTTTCAATAGGTGAAATTAGTATTAAGTATTCACATGACCCTTCTGAGATAAGTGATTTTTCTGGTACAGAAAGATATTTTACCTTTTCAGAGGCATTTCAGACAGTTTTGGCTGACAGTTCATGAACACTCGTAGATTCATGTTGACCAATTGATTTAAGACCTGGGAACATTGAAAACATGTTTAAGGATAGATAGCCAGTTGTATTAACGTGGGTAACCTTTGAAAATAATAAAATAGCAAAGTTAGACCATGTATATAACTGGTAAGTAAAAAGTCAATTTTGCGCTGATATTAGACTGTTTGTTATTCAACAATGTTATTTGTCTGCAAGATACATGATCGAATTAGTAAAGTAAATTAATATTTTTCTTTCATGTAAACCTTTTGTTTAAAAGATTGGCCCATTGTCTCTCCAGTTTTTGTGGCTAAGTAGCCAAACATCAAAACCTAGCCATGTCATCTGACCCAGTTCAGTCTACACTACTTCAGGACACTGTTCATGATGGATCAGCCAGCTGGGGCACTGGCAGAGCTTGCGAGGAGAGCTTGAATTCTTCCTCCTCGGTTTCAGGTACCCTGCATGTCAAAGTCCTAACAGCTAGGGTGGTCCTTGGTGGACAAGCAGCAGAAAGCTTACCATTCGCCTGGAATGGTCGATTGCTTGATTTCACTAAGCATCTCCAACAGTATCCAATACACACATTGGGGTCTCAAAAGACATAGCTTTTGCAACCTGCACCTATATACTCCACGATTAAATAAGCAAAATGCGTTCTTCTGGGGAAAGAGCCATCCATGCCAATCAAATGGAAACCAATGCATAAGTCAAATGTTTAGTAGTTTGCTTTGAAGCCCCATAAGTATGGGACGTCCTCCCGATGTGAAAGGCGCTACACAAATGTAATCTTGTTGTTGTATGAAGGTGGATTTTCGTATGAGTCAGATAACTGGCTGACCTTAAAAAAAAATCTGTGAAAGGCGACCAAAATGCCATTTCAATTCAACTACTCACCAATAGCAAAGGAGCAAGTTGCTGAGTGTCCCTGGTCACAGGGTCAGCTATGGCAACCACTTCAAAATACACCTGTTCTTCTTTCGGCCGTAATTTAACAACACTGAAAAATATCAAAGATATTGTAGTATGAACGTGACTAAATGTACCAAATGGCTTTTATAAAATGCTATTGATAACTATTTTGATTGTTTCGTATTGACAAGTTTCCTGCGTTGCTCACCTCAGTCTTTCTGCAAAGAACTGGAGATCAATCCTTGGCTCTCCTCTGGACTGTGCTGATAGAAGAGCATCCACTTTCATTACTAGATCACTGGCACTACAAGACAACATTTGTAATTGACAGTTATGAATAGCAATGGATGATGCAAATAGGAGACTTCTCCTAGAGTCAAGGATCCACAAATACAGAATCACTCCAAGAACCATCCAGCGATCATTATCATTAAACATCTAATTATAATATATATATTTTACACACTCATACAATTAGAAATAATTGATTTTTTTTGTTAATGAACAGTACTGTGAATAGAGGCAAACATTTGTAATTAATACATCACTGAAGAATTAAATCCACAATACCACTGCTGCAAGATTACAGGAAGTTAATATTAAAATGACTCACTGATCCTCTTCAATCACCAGCATTTGAATTTTGCTTTTGATTTTCTCTGCTGTCTCGGTGGCAATGCTCTCCAACAAATGGAAATCGTTTTGATTGAAAATTTCACTTTCTTCCAGTGGGCCCACAACCTACCGCAGATAAAATGTTAGAAATGCATCACCAATTTAGACATTAAACGAACCTTGGCCTTCAACACCTTTGAGGTACAAGTTCTTCTCTGGCACCGAATGACACGGAAACACATTCTAAACTCTTCTCGTAAGTGGTATTTAATGAGAATAAATAACAATTCAACTGCACTCAAACATCGATTGCCTGAAATAATATCCCAGATTTGCAAATAGGATTTGTGAATATCTTGATGATATCACTGTAAATTGAATAACGGAAACATCTATTTAAAGACGGACTGAATACCAAGCAATTTAAAGATTAACTAATGTAGTTAATCACTAAATAGAAATCAACTTCTTTTTCTGGCGTTTCCTTTCACAAACGCAGATGCCCATCTTTCACCACACTTCCTTTCAGGTTATTATTATCTTAAATATTGAATGCATAACAAATTGAATGGACTTTTAATGTAAAGTCTTTTGTATACATGGGAATTATGAACCACTGAAAGAAAGCAAGAAGTGAAGAACAGAGACCAGGGAACAAATGATAAGAAAGGGATCAGCCCATCTACTCAGAAAAAAAGCTCACATCCACAAGTTGGTTGCTGCAAGTACTGTAGTCTGCCGTTGTATTGGCTACTGTTAATGCTGAGCTATTCCCACAGTTTTTTTGTTATTCTATTTGTTCTGAAAGCAGGAGGGTGATTTCCTATTTATCAGTATTTTAATCAATCTTGGCAGATGAGCATGTCCAATTGTTCCCTGGTTATTATAATAATAATGGCTGGGAAACTTATTGACCTTGGCAGGATCCTGTATAATGGTTATAAAGTTCAAACCACCATCACATTTACCAATCAGCATTCGCTCATAAAAATTAGTACATTTTACCAGAGAATCAACCCAATTTACTGATTTAGTTTGAAAATACTTACACGCCCATTGCTGATGACAGCCCTCTGCCCTTTCTTCAATTTCAGAACATCCGTGCAGAAGGATCCGTGTGACAGAATTACACTGAGATCAGGAGAATTAAACATCGCCTTAAAGGCTTCATTGTCCATACCCTATGTGAAAAAAGGAACATTTGTGTAGATATGGTCTTCCTTCCTCAAAGATTACTTACAGTAATAATCATCTTTTATTTTCTTCAATGGATTGTAATTTGGCTTCTGACTTGGCTTCCTTCTACTTTTTTCTTTCCTGCCTCCTCCAATGCTATAGACCATTTGTTACCAGGGAATTATGCAGTTAATTGTCTTGCAGGCAGCCAGAAGTGCAGAACTGTTACAACATTATGTTTATTTCATTTTGAGTTGTCTCACTGCATGGGGACTCTTTGAATTTGCATACCAACGTGCCATGGGATGCTGCAGGCAGCAAAACATACAAATGCTTCCTATTGGTGGCATCTGCTGCTACTTTTCTGGTTGCGTGGGGAGAGCCAGGATCTCAGTTTTCACATCACTATCAAGTAGATACTTATCCAAGACAACAGAGTAGAGCTGCAATCAGAACTGAAATTAATTTCAGAAATCAACTTTGGCTTCCATTAACTGTAAATAGGAGTTCTTCCAGCCTTTCCTACAGATCACACACAAATATACGGTCAATTCACTTTACAGTCTATTCTGTGAAGCGCTTTGAGACGTCGATAAGACGTGAAAAGTGCTATATCAAATGCAATTATTATTATTATTATATAGATCACACACAATCCACTCACACTGTAAATAAAGAAAATCCCCCGTTTCCAAAAATAAAACTATGAATTACACAGCAATTTCTCATTAATACTCTGGAACTGAAAAGGAGCATGAAAAATACAGCCAACAGGGATGCCATCATTTTCCACTTAGGTTTATGAAGCAAATGTTCGGCTTTTAAGCAAATGAAGATACATGATTAAACGTATACATTGTGCATCAGTGATACTCATCACTTACTCCAACCGCAAATTCCATGATGTCTGCCCCCTCAGACAGTGCTTTTGCTGTCTCTTCTTTAGCCATCTTGGTAATGAAGTTTTTTGCATTGTTAATGTTCTGTGTTTTCAGTGTGGCCCAGATGGCTCTTGCATTAACAGAATTCTCTTCAGTGGGTTCTTTGCTTGGATTGTTTATCAGTCCAACCCTCAGATTATTGCTGGATTTCTGCAGAATAAGGCACAAGGGTTTACATCATTATGGATGGCTTTATTTACAAGACATAAATAAAAGTTGAATTCCAATAGTGCCAGTCATTTTTTTTAAAAAAGAAGATTCTCTCTCCATAGTCTTCTTATAAGCACTCCGAGACCCTACTCAACAACAAATTACATTTGTATAGCGTCTTTCACGTCAGGAGGATGTCCCATAGCATTGCGTGAAGGGCACTACATAAATGCATGTTGTTGTTGTCATGCTTTTTTTTAGTTGGGAGAGTGGGATTAATAGAACATAGAAATCACCATGTAGAATGTCACTACGTGTGGAATAATAAGAGATGGTAATGGGTGAAACACAATTTCCCCTCAAGGTTCTCTGATGGTTACAGCTGGTCCATGAGCACGTACACAAAACTAAAGGAGTAGATAATGTATAAGATACATGACACTGATCTCATCACTACAACCTGCTTGCTAATCAGAAAAATGACTAGTATCATAGCAGAATAAGCTGATCATACAGGTAAAGATATTGCTGAAGAACATTCCTGTGTACACAAATACAGAATAGGAGAATGCAATATGAAAGGTGTATTGTTTAGTTTACAGTGCTTTATTTTGAGAAAATTCAAGATTATATTATTCTCTTACCAGATGTTTGAGAGATTCATATAATAATTGTCTCCCTGAGGGTTCATCAAAGTCTCCAACAATCCAGAATGTAACTGGACGAATATAGTTGTTATCTATCCAAAAGGAAAAAAAATATCAAACAGTATCCATTTAACTTTTTTAACTTTCAGATTTCTTTTATTTTTAAAGTCTCATTTAAAGAAACGTAATCCCAAGACTAATCCTCCGTTCCCAACAGACATTAATGATGTCCTCTGCATTGACCAGCTGGAGGAGCAATAAAAAAAAATCAATGCAAGACAGAAGTTGATATGGAATAACTGAATGGCACTATAAAAAGGTTTACAGCTGCTGGCTATGGTCAGGTAGAAAAAAATCTGGTCTACTGTATTAGAAAACTACCAGAATCAGTTAACCAGAGACAAAAAAGACTGAATACTGAGACATCGAGTCGTAAAGGTCACTGGTAAATTTTGGTAATGGTTTGTTTAAATGTAAAATATTAGAATTTTTTTAAAAAATCCCAATTATTTCTGGCAGATCAATTAGTGTTAAGTAAATTCAACTGCTGGCACGACACACACTCTCCAGGGACCAAAAACATACTCAATTCAAGTTTCTTTTTGTGAATCAATTGCTAACACAGCTTTGTATTTACAGATTCAAGTCACAGGCAGTAATTCTGACAACTGGACTCCTATAAAGGCTAGAAAGCCACCTCTTTTTTAACTAGTTAAACTGAAAAGAAAAACATTTATCATGTTAAGCCAGGAGTAGATATTTGCCACTGAAGAAAGAATTCCAGCATGGCAAAACAGATGACCAGTTAGCTTTCCAACATGAGAAATATAGCAGTCTGTTTAATACATCTGTAGCAGGGTCTACCAGGTCACTGAGAATGGTGTAAGAGTCAGAGAACACAGGGTTGCAACCATGACTTTCATCTCACACATTCCCATGTTCAGCTGGATACTTGGTAAGGGCATGTCGCTACAGAAAGGATGGAAAACCAGAAAGGAGAGAAAACTAAAAACTAATATTAACATAAGGCTCTCTCTATCACACATTGGTTACTTAGAGGAATGCTTTTTGAGACTTGAATACAGATGACAAACAAAAGATCCATGTTTACGAATGGGGTTTCTCAAGAGGGATTATTTATGCAGTAAAAGTTCCCTGAATGATGTTTCATGAATCTTTCATGATGTTGTTCATCCCAACTTAATTTATCATTACCTGTATTTCTATTCATCATCATCATCCCCATGCATGGGAATTGTAAAATTGCACACATGTGCACTTTACTAAGCTTCTTCTTTGACCCACAGCTTGACACTCGGGACAAAAAAATTATCTTAAATCCAGAACAATCTGATAATATTAAACAAGTCCCTTACAACTTGTTCCATTCAAGACTAGGATAAAATCTCATTCAATCAAAATGATCATTAGCAAGTTTGAACAAATGAAACACACAAAATAAGTGAAGATAGCAACCTCAAACCATCAAGACATGCTGATGAACATAGAGCATCAGAGCATTGGCACATTCTACCAAGCAGAATGCAATTTCGGATTATAGTGTCCCTGGTCTCAGCTATGCTATCCTGCAGAACAAATGGGTGCAAAGACACTTCCTTACAACATGGGAGTAGGTTTGAGAACTCTGAACAAAGATCACTGTAGCCCACCTTCCAGCTTCAAAGTTTCACAGAGAACTGGGAGCAGATCTTCTGTTTTGCTCATCACCAATATAAAAATAATTAGTTTCTTATAAGGAAAGCTTGAACATGCACAGTTGTACTAACATACACCACCAAAGGTCTTCCGTATCTGATTGGTACAATTTTGGCCTGGAATGCAGGACGTACCATAAAAATAACTTGTAAAGTTGTGACATAGTGGTGGAATTGGATACTTTCGAACACAACTGCTAAAATCTTGCACCAGATATTTATCAACTGTATTTTTGAACTTCAAGTCTGTGGTATATGGAGTTTAGAGTAGAATGGCCTTTTCTTCTACCACCAATTGTCATTCCAGCCATATTTCACTCGCTCAGCAATTTCAAATGAAGTGGGTGGGCTTCAACACATTGGGTTAACAGAGACCTGAACAAATATGAAGTTTGATTTTTGTATGGAAATCTAATAAAGCAATTAAGTGGAAATTATGAAAAATATAATCATGCAGACCATTGATGAGATTATTAGGGGAAAGTAAAGAATGCTCACACCAACAAACAAGAGGAGAAAGTTACCATAGATCTCTCTCGAAGACATTCCTGCACAAAAGCATAAAGAATAAAGAATAAAAAACACAGAAAAGCAAAAGGATAGTCAAATTTGGATTATAGAAACAGTGTCAAACTACAGCCATATTTATTTTAGTAATAGATATAGACTGCTTCCTCAGCTGCTAGTGCTTATGGCACCACGGTACCCATTTAATCAAACATTAAATCAGCCAAAGAAGAAAATGTTCCCAATAGAAATTCTAAAACTGCAGGGAAAACACAATATCCAATATTGTTAAAACCATTTTTAGCCACTTCTAAATATTTTGATTTAACAACTTGGAAACTTTAGGCAAGCTTTCAAAGCTCATCTCACTTATAGCTCGAACTCAGACATTTTCTCCAACTATTGAACTTCCTCACAGACATAAACATGCATTTTTTTGTAACTGATCAGATTGCTGACTTGTAAAACACACATTTTAGATTTAATTCCAATTAAAGCAAATATGGTGAGAAATTCCATCTGTGTCTATATTTACTCTATTTATGTTGCATTTTAAAATGTGCAAAACTTGGCAAATTCAAAAATACAGCAATTCAATAAATAATTTTGAAGTTGATTTTGTGTAAGTTACTTTAAGAACAACTAAAAACTGACTGTAAAGTCACCCTAAAAGTATAATATTACACCAAAACGTCACTTTCAGTTACTAAATAACAGTCACTGTATTACAGTCACAGTAAATCCTGTAAAGCTGAGCAAATGAATCGAGTCCTTGAGGCTTTTGCTACCAAAATGATAAGAGACAGATATTCCAATTCAAAGACTCATAGAATAAAAATGCACTTAATGTTTGCAATAACAATATCCTGGTAACACTGTTTGTAATTCTGCAGTATGCAATAAAAATAAATATATTTAAAACCAATTTGCTAGAGCTCATACTCTTGTTATATCTAGAAAAACAAATCTTTGCTTCTAAAGATGCTTAAATGAAAATTGAAGCTGGTCATTAACCTAAGATCCAACCTAAAATGATTTTATTATTATATTCAGGAAGCTAGATGGTACTCAGAAGCTATTTCTCTCCATATTCCAGGGACAACAAAGCTGAATACAATATCCTTGTCTGTGCCAAGATCTGTTAACTAAGCATAGATCGAGAATTAATCCAGTTATTTTCTTTGGCACATGTTGGTTTAAACTGCACAATGGTGCTTCGCTTACTTGCCCATCAGGGGGAATGTGAACCTGTTTGTTTTAACATTGAAAGATGTACATATAATGAAACCAATTCTCTTTTCTCAATCATATCAACATCAATTGCTAAACATAGCAATCGTTCATCATCTTTAATATGAAGGTAGCTACAATTGAGCATACGACAACCACCACAGTTATTCTTTTTACTACCTCCACTCATGAAGGTGCTGACTCTTGCTATGGTACAGATCCACAGGCACCAGCTGTTCTCTGATGCCTCATTCAAGTTAGCAATCTTTATGCATAGGCTTCAACAGTGAGGTCACCTTTTCGACTACTGGAGATAACATTATTAAGTGCACTCTCCAAAACTTTCATAATTGACCAGGGCAAATTATAAACTGTGAATATATAATAAATGTCACTGCATAGGAAAAAAAAGCAGAACAAGCAGAAAATGTAATACTCTTCACACTGTACCTCTTTTTGTCAAGTAAGAGATGCTGTTCGCTACGGCTGCTGCCTTTTCGTCAGATTTCAGAAAAGCAAATTGAGAATAATCATCCACACCATAGACAACTGTAACAAAACACATTAGTTCAAACTTGTAATTCATATTGTAAAGATGCACTGAAATCGCTCTTGCCCTTTATTTTTGCTATAGAATCCAACACACACTGTAAACTGTTGTTTGCTGCCTTTACGAGGATTAAGTAATCAACAGGTAATGGAATGCATTTAGCTCCTTGATATGTGGCGTGTAATTGTCTTTCGGGTTTCAATAACAAACTTCTGATAAACAAAAACATCCAGTGAAACCTAAAGAAAGATAAATCACTAATGATAGGACTATCAATTAATTCTATACAAGTGCTCAATTAATACTCTAGTAAAGACATGCATTACGACTGCAGAAAGTGACTGGGTTGACTGGGTTCTGTAGTTTACTTTAGGCTGAACTCAGTGCAGCAAGTCACCAGCGTTTTTACCTTTGGATGATAAATCCAGGAACTGTCTCTCAGAGTTGAGAATTCTGGAATTGATTCTTGGAACAATTGTTGGCTGACTCATTATAAAATCAATAACGTCTTGGTCATTGTTCAATTCACCCTGTAATGGTAACATATTGTGCAATTACAACTGAAAGCAAAACCTAAATACACTATTACAATTCAGTGACGAGAATGAGCCAATGGAGGGCGAAAAAACAAGAGTGTAGACATATTTTATTCATCTGGAAGCGGAATTCAGCAATTACAAGTAATGTTGGCTGGTTTAACAGAATTTGGAATTCAAGTTCAAAACATTTTCAATTTTTGGTCTAACAATATCAGTTTCAAATTAGTTTCTTGAGGGAAAAAGTCAATAACACCACAGTTGATGTGTGTCTCTCATATGCAACAATGTAAGAAAAAAATAAGCAAAACTAAAATCAGAAAATGCTTCACATTCTGTTCACATTCAAAACATTAACCCGTCGTTCTCTTTTAGATACCAACAAAAGATACTACCTAATTTTCACGTTTGCTATTTTTATTTCACGTTTAACATTTTCCAATTTTCTCTTTTTATAAAGAAAAAGCAAGAAATTACCTAATAAATAATCTTTGCATTTGATAAGAGCAATTGGTTTGTAAGTTGGTGTTACTAAGTCAAAACAGAGGTTTATTGTTGGGCAACTTGAGCCACACTTAGCAGCCCTAGTGGCAATTTGATCAGAATAACTATTGTTTTACTGTGTTCCCTTTTGCAATATATCTCAGCAGACCAATCATCCAGGATTCAATTGCTCTGAACTGTATTCTAGCTAAATCGTGTTGTACATTACTCACCATATAAACAACTTTTTGGAAATAGCCTGTATTGTCCAAAATTTTATGCATTGTTACAGTTTCCAGCTCATCAGGATCCAGCTGTTCCTTTTGGTATGGCATGCCATTATACAATGCCACAGGCAGAGGGCCCAAGCCTGTTTGTTTATAGTAAGCTTTTCCTTCCTACAGAATGATAAATGAAGAATAAATACTCATGGACGCAAAGTTCTCAAGGGAAAATACAGCACAGTGCAGTCCACGGCATGACAAATCACATGGTGAGTTATCAAAACCCTTTTGAGAAGATATTTACTCAGGACTTATTCATTTACATTTTCCGTGCTTTACATTATTATAAATCCCTTATTATTTTTGAATAGACATTGAATTTAATTGATAAACCTGACCACATTTTATAATACAAAAAACAGGACTCAAATCTTTAAAAAAAAGCATACTAATTTGAACAAATTCACTCTAATTTTTTTTTAAAAAACTGAATGGCACCTCAAGAGATTATACAAATTCAAAGATTATAATTAGCTGGTTTTGTTCATAATTTATCTGCAATAATTATTAACAACAGAGGACCTAGAGGTACAATCTTGATCTTAATATTTTTGTTATTGTCATATCAAGAAGAAAAATACAAAACATACGCTTAAAAAAGATCCATTGCAATTTAATTTCATGATTATTTGGTTTGCAAGTGTGATTTTACTGTGTTAAAAACTTGAGAATTGGATCCGTGCAGCAATCAAACCTCAGGAACAACCAATGAACAAAATTCAAACAATGAACCAACTATCCCACCCAGCATGGATCCTTCAAATCAACCCACGGGTGCAGCACAAACTTAAACTGGAAATCCCACTGATGTTGGTTCTCACCTTCCTGTTTGTGTCATACACTGAATCTGCTCCCAGAACACTGGTCACCTCTATATAAGGGTATGCCTTCTCCAAGGTACCAATAACATGCTCAATCTTTAGTCTTTCGCCTTGTTTCACCTTGTTGTATATCTGAAAGAGAAACAATAACATTTTGCACGATAAGAACAATTACAATGGAATTTCCACCAGTTGAATGAATTCAGTAACTCCGTTTTGTGAAAACCAATTGGGAATAAAATAAAGATGGTCATTGACTACCTAATTCATCCTGTTGAAATGGTATTAAATGGTAAAATGCAGGGGGTTAGTTGTTAGTTCAACTACAAATCTCTGGCAAACCCTTGTAACTAAAGGCCCCTTCACTGCTCCATTTGCCATGGAGAAAAGCCCAGATTCTTAACTTTCCCGCAAACTTTATGTTAAACCAGATTCGACTTCTGTGAACCTCACCGAAATGATTGTCTGGAATGCCTTTGTATTGTCCACTTCATCTGAAATGAAGTTAAATGTCCTGAGAAGTGCAACCCCAGCATCTTTTAGACCATTAGCCTCTTCAGAGTCATCAACAACAAAGACCAAGCCAATCCTGCAATGAGAAATAAAGTGCACAAAATCACCGAGGTCTTATCTGGGGATTATCTGATTCGGTCACCTGATACTTCAAAATTGTGGCTTTGTCATCATAAAACTGAATTAAAATGGTTACGGTTTGTTGCCCTTTACAAGGAATAAGTAATGGGGTGCCTTTAGCTCATTAATATGTGCCATGTAATTGTATTTATTTCATCAAATCACAGAATTTCATTGGCTTTTCTAGATCATTATTAATGAAGACATGAACATACACCAGTGACATTAGTCACTTGGATACCCTCCAAACAGGTTCACTTTGCACCATTGATGTGTGAAACTGTTTATCACTTGAAGCATACTTCAATTCTAGTCTGTTTCAGTTAAAACTTATTTGGAATTTTTCGCCTTCAATTAAGCTATCTTCTCTTCTAACAGTATATGCAGAAAATGAATACATAACTAGGGTTAACAGATATGATATACAGTAGGAAGACTTAGTGGTTTGTTGCAGAAAATTGCTGCTCTTTTCAAGTACATTTTTGAAAAAGTACAAAGAATTAATTTTTTTCAAACTTAATTGTACGCAATCTTGAAACCAAATAATGACCTTTTTGTGAAATAGATTTTAAAATATTATACATATATAAAAAAAATCAACATTAGTACCCAAATCTAGATAGCCACTAAACCAAGGTCATTTGGAACATCTATGTACATACCTGAGTGGAATATTGTTAGAATAAAACATTTCAGCTACTTTAAACAGTTCTGGGGTGCTGTCATCAGTTGGGTCAACAATGAGCACCTAAAATTAAACAAAACCAGAACTACTGTGATCATTTGCAGTTTTTCTCAACAACATAGAAGCACATTTCACATCTTAAACTTGTTGAGTAACACCACAAAGGTATAGTAGAGACAATGGTATGTTTCCATCACATTACTCTGAGCAACAAAGAAAGCATGCTGAAAATTAACAAGGAACATTTTTGCTGGTAGGAAAATATTTGAGACATTGCAAATGTTTCCAGTAAAAAGCTCTTTTTTCACACCTCTCTTACTACTGCTATAAATACATTTGATTATTTCTTTGTTTCACAAGTGCTGAAGATCTTCCAATCCCTCACCCAAGTGGCCACCATGAAGCCTTCAGCCTGCATGACAAGTGGAATTAAATCTTTTTCTTATTTTTTTACTTACAAAATTGTGGAAATTCTTCCGAATCTGCCTAATAACTCCAGGAAAGGTGGGTCGCAGAAGTTCTTTTACATTGGACGGCCACGAGTTATATTTACTATCAATCTCCAGATTGTTGATCCACTGTTTTGAGAAATAAAAATATTTTTAAGTATCATTATACAGGGAATCCCATTCACTACGGAAGTGGCTACACTGTGAAAAACATCCACAATACATTTATTTTAATGAAACCTGAATACCACAGAAATTCTACGGCTAACCAAAATGCTGGGATTGGATTGAACTGAGAGCACTGGTACATTTGAGACCAGATTGGGCTGGAAAATTATTATATCTGGGAAAGAGTCAGTCTGGAAATATTAATATTGCTGGAACAGGTCAACCTGGAATGTTATATTTGTTTTATACAAAACTTAGAAGAATGAGCTACTACATTGCACCTTTCAATATCATATTGAGGATATGATGAAATATTAGAAATACATTCCCAAAATTTAAGACAAAAATTTATCTTTGAACATTGAATCTAGCTTTAAATTCAAGACTATAGGCCAGATAGAGCAGGGGGCGATACAGACAGTACTTTCTTTCTAAACAAAATTTTAAATAAAACAATCCTGATAAACTATTACGGAAGCGTGATAAAGAACTTGAAAAAGGAGCTGATGCGGTAACAAACAATGAACAGTCAGGGGCCTAGAGTGCACATACTTACATAAACAGCTGGGTTTCGAATGTCCACACCATAGTCATTGTCTCCTGGGTGTACATTCAATTTCAGCAGCTCATGAAGGTCTTCCCCTTGAATCCCCAAATCGTGTAGCCCTTCCATAATATGGGCCTCATTGCGTAACAGGTCCAGAACACTACATGCACACACAAAATATAGGAATAATTTTGACAAGATTTTTTTTAAATTTAATAATTTGCCAAAGCTATTTATTTTCATGGTGGACTGAAACAGACATATTATCCATACCTAAAGAGATCTTGTACCTCCATATCTATGTTGAGACCATTGATGAAGAGTGCAGAGTCACCTGGGTGGAGTCCGAGAGTTTCTTTGAAATACTGAATGTGAAAGCGAGAAAAAGGGTAGTTTTACAATCAGGAATGTTTCTGTTTCAATCGCAAAACTACTGGTCAATCCATTCATTGTGCCCCAGGATCTTTTACATGCACCTGAACAGGCAGACGGGAAAGAAAGAAAAATGCCGACTTACTCGCTGGTTCTCTTCAACTTCATTTCTCATATCAGAGTTCACAACAGTTCTTGTTATAGATCTTCATATTAAAACAGAAAAAAACACACATAAATATTGAACAAGCAGCAGTTGCAAACTACAGTGTTCAGCCTCTGGATCAAACACAGTATCCCACACTGCAAAGCTTTAGATGCTTTTATATTTGTACCAGGTTTTGTAGGCACCAAGGCTCTTTTCTGTCATTGAAAAATAGGTCATGGATCTTTTTAGCTCATAAACTGCAAACACCTAAGATATTAATGAAACAGTTGCCTGCAAGACTTTTGACCAATATGATATGCAAAATTACGTGTGTGTTATCTGGATTGGTGACCATCCATTGTTTATTAAAGAAAGGAACAAACACTTCAATGTACAAGAATGACCAGTTACTAATGCCTATCTCATGAATTCCAGATTTCACAGTTGACTTTTCTTTTCATCCTACATTGGTTTAAATTAAAAACTACAGAAATTAAACGTTAAGTGTGCTTTTAAAATATCATACAGTTCAGAAAATAACACTATTCAATTTACACGTGGTATTGGGTAGAAGATGACAGCCTGCCTACAAACCATTATGTTACCTGGCTTTGGTGGGAAAGTTCTGGCTCAGGTCACGCATAACCATTAGCGCATCAGCTGAAGGTGCAGCCAAGATTCGAGCAGCAGTTTGGAAGCTTAGGTCTGCCATGAAATTAAATACAAAGTATATGATTTCAACAAATTCACTGAAATGAGCAGAAATAACTCAACACAAAGAATGCAATGCTTTCATCGCATCCTCCAAACCAAAGGGCGTGCGACTCTGAACAAACAGACATATACATAAGCATGATGACTACTTGTTATAAAGCTGCAAATTAGCATTCAATAAACATGCAGTCATTATTTAATAATACATCAAAATTTTCTTCAGTGCACTGTTGTATATTATTTAATATCCTATCTGTAATACGTCTAGTAAATATCTAAAAATAATGAAAGGTCCAAATAGAAACCCATCTAACTGTGATGGCAGAACGTGAGTTTTGCTCGCAGGTATATATGACATTTTTCTATTTGGGGGGTTGTTGAAAGTAGTCAAATGTCAACACTACCAGAAAACGCATGCAGACGTGGAACCTGATATAAGGCAGAGACTAGAGAAACTCAATTATGATCCTGTAGATCAGACAAAGCAAGTCTTGCCTGGGCTACCAAATCCAATGTGAAATTGTGAAACATGGAAATTTCAGAAATAGATTGTTTGAATGGAATGCGCACTCTCTCCCTGAAGGGCCCATCCTGCTTCCTTAATTCCGGAAAGTATTAGAACAGGTTGGCAAGAGCCGAGGCTTGAGGACCTCAGAGTGTGCGTACGATAATGCTGGAATCTAACTGGTTAAAACTGCGTAACTTGCCACTGTTAGCACTGTCTGACAATATATTTTAGTCAAGGTAAACCATACAAAAATTAACAGACAGAAATTAAGCAATCAAATTCTGCCGACCACTGCAATAAAAAAACACAAAAATCCAAAATAGACAGATAAATTGATTTCATTATTGTTTGGAATCTACTACTCCAAAAAACTCACTTTTCTCACACTACCCCAAAGGGGTTTGAACTACAACTTTGTTTCACATGGTGATAAGACCATCCGTTTTATAACAGCATGAAATTGGGTGCCATCTCCTGCAACCTACCTTGCAGCTGCCAAACTTTTAGAGGTGACATCTCATTTGTGCTTTCAATCAGGTGTTTTCTCAGTTCTTTAAGTTCTTCCTGAAGCTTAGGGTAGAGAGTTCTGTCAAAATGGAAAACAAGTCCACAGTTCAGACAAATTTCAGCTAGAAGACAGTATTTTTCACATTTGTCATCCACATGCTACTGAATGAAGCTGCAACTTCAGTATAAAACTGATCAGGTTAAAAACGAACACTGATAATCTACAGTGTTTGCACCAATCTGCCAGAACATTTTAAACTCAGTTTCTCAGTTCATTCTGTTATCACAAGGATATCTGTGTGGAAACTAGATCGCAGTTTACATACGAGCAGTATCACCTCAGAGGGACAGTTATTAATAATCTATTTTGAATGAGTAGGCGCTTACTTCAGTTTCCCAAAGAGGAATCCCTGGACTTCATCAACAGGATCATTTTCATTTATAGCAGTTGCATTCATTTCAGAGCCTGTAAGACAATAGTGAGGAGTTTGACTGGATCACAATTTAGAATTTCAGATTCCTAAACAATTCAGATTGATAAAGTCCCTCCCCTACATTATCAGCAACCCCAAATCCATAAATATATTAAACTTTCAAAGTGCAGAACAAACCTAGGGAGAGACTGGTAGTCTCCACACCTAAAGCTACTTGCAAAGCTACTGTTCAACAAGAATCTATTTGGTCTTATATATGCAACACGTTGGCTGGAAGGTGGGAGAAGAATACTGCTGGGTTGGATACTGTATTGCATATTATTCATATTTGCACACTTCATGTAAAGATCATTGGGTAACAAGAATGTCATCCTGCAAATATTTTACCATCAATGCTTGGAATTGCTGAGAACAATTCTAGCATCCCATTCCATTCCATCCCTCTTTCTCTCCTTCCCCTCTCCCCTACTAACTTAACAAAAACGTCAAATCTAATCTGACCATAATTACACACAAAGGGCTCAGAAATTACACTATGAACAAACAAAAAGTAATTGTGTACATGTTATTATTTTAATAAATTTTGAAAATGTTTAGAATAGGCTAATTTATCACCTGTTACTTGGGTGTCATCCTTGGCCTTGTATTCAGTGCTTTTCATGACAAGCTCCACAGCATAACCGGAAAGGAAGACCCTTTCCTGACTTGGAGTCTGTAACAAACATAAACAAAGTAAAACAGGTTAAATAATCCTTGCATTTGATATATCACTTTTCACGTCTTCTCAACATCTCAAAGCGCTTCACAAGATATACTCTAAAGTGAATTGACTGTACATTTGCGGGCGGCCAATTGCGCACAGCAGTGTCCCACAAACAGTCATGAATTGAGTGACCAAATTATTATTTTATTTCTTATTTTCTTGAGGGATTATTATCAGGCATGTGGAGTAAGTAAACTTGCCCAAGGTTTCGCCCTGCCGGGAATCAAACCCATGTCTTTCGCTTGCGAGGCAAGTGCTCTAACCACTGAGCTACAGGATTCAAAGGAAGGAAACATGTTAGATTCAAGATCCTCATTCTCACCTCGAATTCAAGATCCTCATCCTCACCTCGAATTCAAGATCCTCATCCTCACCTACAAGGCCATTCACGGCCTTGCTCCCTCCTACCTCTCCGACCTACTATCCCCCTACTTACCTGCCCGTACCCTGTTCCTCTGGCTCTGGTCTGCTCTACATCCCCCGCCCCAACCGCCCTACCATCGGTGGCCGGGCCTTCAGCCTCTCAGCCCCTAGGGTCTGGAACTCCATCCCCCAGTGCCTCCGCCGCTTCCTCCCTTTCCTCCTTCAAGGCCGGTCTCAAGACCTTTCTCTTTGACCGTGCCTTCAGCTCCCCTCTCGACTCTCTACCCCCTCCTCGCTCCCTCCACTCACCCTGACCATTTCCACCCCAATACTCAGGTCCTGACCCAACTGTCCAGCGCCTTGGGACGTCCTCCCGACGTGAAAGGCGCTCTATAAATGGAATCTTGTTGCTGTTGTAGATTCCGCTAATGTATCAAACCATTAACAAATCCTTTAAATAGAGGAAGTTAATCGTAAAAAGAACAAAACACCATCTGTTATGGATGGGAAGCACGCCATAAAAGATCAATAAACCTCAAAGAAAAACACAATGAAGGTTTGGAAACAAAGAGATAAATAAGTGCACTCTCCAAAGTTAGATGTAAGTTACTAAAAAAGAGTTGACAAATGAAAATGTTCAAATATGACACAAGAGAACCTTACAACAGTGATTGACTTAACAAGGGATTGATATGGTATATATTGGCAAGAAAGAATCCATATTCAAAGATCAGCAAAGTAGTAACAGACCGCACATTTGACTCTTAATTAATTTTACTTACAGCAACATAATGCCTGAGAACATAGTTGATAGTTCCCATCATTGATTTGGAACGAAGAAGTCCATGGAATTTGGAAAACTCCTTGGTACCAATCTCACCGTACAGAATCACCACAGGAAGTTCAGGTTTTAAGGGGAACTCAATGTGATCCCCTTTAAATATGTACGGCTTGGATCTATCAGCAAAAAATAGAAATCAGAATTATAAACTGCTTTTGAATAATCAAGCCAACCCAAGCTGAATTGGGTCCAATTTTGTTCGGACAGATATTAACACATACTCAATATGGTAATTACTTAAATATTCTACATCCAAACCATAATAATTGTGCACTCGCCTTCCAATGTACATACAAATGTAAGTTCCAATTTACCATAAAATATTTCTCACAATTAAAAATAAATACAAACAGTTGTCAAACATTCAACAACAATTAGGTAATTTTACATTAACAAATATTGGAGACCAATGAATAAATCGTTCAGAGTTTCTACTAAAACTGATAACTCTCTCACTTGTCATCTCATCTCTCACTTGCCGTCTCTTTCACTCAATGATCTTTAATTCACAGGTCTGATATTTCGCAAACCTATTTTGTGTTACCTTTCCAAAGATCCTTTCAGAAGCATCTCCAAATTGTCAGGACTGCAGGTTTTCTCCCCATGCACATTTACGAAAGCGACACAATTCTTTGGAGGAGGTTCTTCTGCTGCAATCTTTTAAGGGTAGAGATTATTAGTAATTCATTATCTACAAAAATAACCAGTTTCCAGCTTCTTTTGAGAAAATACATTAATATGTACTCACCTGCTGAAACATCTGAACAGTGGCAGAATAAGCCCGCAAAGATAAGGCAAACTTCATCAAATTGACTTGAACATGAGATAGAAATGTAGCAGCTTGCCTTTGTATAAATTGGTAGTGCAACAAATCTGTCCCTGTCAAAATAATTTCACAATGTTACAGCAACGTTTAGATTAAACATTTTCAATTCTAATCATTCCAATGGAAAGACTGCTTTATTATTTTCTACTGGAATAGTGAATAATTGAAATCATTGATAACTCAGAATTCCTCTGTAAATTCTACCCCTATGATTCTCAATTCCCCACTATTTGAAGATTAAGATAATGACTACTCCAATGCATGTGCAGATAAAATAAGTGAAGAATGTAGTAAGTAACTAATCTAGTTTCAAAGATATGCTCCATAGTGAAGTCACCTTTACCTGCATGATTCTCCTCATAGAATTCTTGACTGGAATCCACAAATTCCCAGAATTTGGCCTTGCTCTGTTCAGCCAAAAATTCGCTGTTGTAAAATGCACAAACAGTGAGATTGTTTTAAAGATTGTTTTCACTTTGCTAAATTGCTTCAGCTACAATAAAATACAATAATTTTGAACTAATTACTACAACAAAGAAATTATATAGAAGTAACGAAAAATAGCATGTAGTGTTAGGGAAACTTTTATCAGTTATCGTAACTCACATTGAATTGCATAAAGTGAAGCATGTATTCAGTCAGTGGTAGATAAAAATAATAATATTTGTACCTTGCTTCTAATAACAAAGGTGTAGATGGCCATTTGGTGGTAAGTGATGTTGTCACTGCTTTTGAATCTGCAGTTACAGTTGACAAGCATATGCTCCCAAGAGTTACAGCTACAAGAACCCACATTGCGTGATTCTTAACTGTAAGAAAAACATGACATTAAAAAATTACACTACACATATCTGCAAGTTTCTTTTCTCACTCTTCGTAAATAATACTGTAAGGTTTACAGCCTGAATGAAAACAGACCAAGATTTAAGGACACAGAAGTTAGCATGCTCCAACACTGATCCAAGATTATTATATTATTATAAGTACCAATTTGCACTTTTGTTTGCTGCATCTAAGCCACCTTTAAGTGGCACTGCAGTAGATCTTGAAAGGAATGCCAGTCTTGAGGTTTGCAGCGTGCCAGAGCAAGATAACAGTATTCAGCAATAAAAACAGAATTGCTGGAAATCAACAACGCACTTACAACATCAGGACAAGAAACATGTGACCAATTATCAGAACTGAAATGGTGGGCTGGGCTAGTGAACCATGTCATAGGAGAATGGAAAGTCGACAACAAAAAGCTATCAAAGTGATTGATAACATGCTCTTCATTGTTAGTATCAGAAAGTCAGAGGCACACATGTAGGCAATTACACTACATTGATTTCAATTGTGAAATGCCCATGTCTCACAGTATTGATTTAATACAGCAGTTGACAGAAAGGTGTACTTTTTGCACTGTTACTTTGATATGCACTGATTATTCTTGCAACAAACGCAGCAGCTAATTAGCACAGCAAATTCCCATAAACAGCAACATAAGTTGCATGGTAAGTGACTCTATTTCACAGATGTTTATGTATTTCAGTTTTGTGACCATCTATTTAAATTCCAAGACATTTATGTCACCTGTGTTATTGCCCAGATGCTAACTTCACCTGTTAAAACTCCCATGTGTTTGTAACATGTGCAACATCTTACAAACACGTGTATATATGTCATTGTTCCGGAATTAGGTAAGCAGGATGCGTCCCTCCAGGGAGAGAGTACGCATTCCCATGTGTAGGTGGGATGCATGGAAATCTCAGCTTGGTTTGGATACTCTTAAGCATGATGATGGGTTTCCGCACAGGTCAAGACATCCGGCTGGCAGAAAAAAAAAACACCTGTGCACCTGTCACCCGTGCAAACGGCTTGGCGTACATGTCACCTGTGCAAATGGCTTGGCGTACATGTCACCCGTGCAAACGGCTTGGCATACATGTCACCTGTGCAAACGGCTTGGCGTACATGTCACCCGTGCAAACGGCTTGGCGTACATGTCACCTGTGCAAACGGCTTGGCGTACGTCACCCGTGCAAACGGCTTGGCGTACCGTCGCTCTCGCCTCTCTACCCCCTCCTCCCTCCCTCCCCTCCCCTCGCCCTGACCATTTCCCCCACTGCTCGGGTCCTGACCCAACTGTCCAGCGCCTTGGGACATCCTCCCGACGTGAAAGGCGCTCTGTAAATGAAATCTTGTTGTTGTTGTTGTTATTGTCACCCGTGCAAACGGCTCGGGTACGTGTCACAGGTGCCAACGGCTCGGGTACGTGTCACAGGTGCCAACGGCTCGGGTACGTGTCACAGGTGCCAACGGCTCGGGTACGTGTCACAGGTGCCAACGGCTCGGGTACGTGTCACAGGTGCCAACGGCTCGGGTACGTGTCACCTGCGCCACCCAAACCCCGGGGTGCGGGAACTTTCGCTCCTTCCTCCAATCACAGAGCTCAGCGTGTCGCCTCGCCCTCCGCAACCTAACCTGAACCCAGCCTCAGGTCCCGCCCCGCCCCCTCCCCGCTGATTGGAGGAGGCGAACGATTGACAGCGCGGCCGGCGAGTCAGAGAGCCGCGCCCACCCCACCGCCGCCGCCCTCCAGACCCTCATCAAGTTTGGTTGAGTTCCGTTTTAATTTCGGTTTTGAAGCGAAACAAAATCGAAAACTTGAGAGAGAGAGAGAGAGAGAGTTTCTGACAACAGCAGCGGAGCGGGAGGGGGGGAGGGAGGGCCACCCCCGAGCCACCACCACCACCGACACCATCAGCGACACCATCCGAGCCGACTGGGGTGGGATCACGAAGGTGAAGCGAAGTCATTGGGGGGAACCGTTTGAAACGAGAAGCGTTTGAAATAAAAAGTGACTCGAATCCGGGATCCGGAGTTTTCTCATTATTATTATTATTATTAATTATTATTATTATTATTCCTCTCTCTCTCTCTTTCCCTCTCTCTCTCTCTCTCTTTTTCTCTCTCTCCCCCCCCCCCCTCCCTCCTTTTTTTTCCCTCTCTTGCAGCCGCGCGACGGTAAAGTGCGGGCGTTAACGTGTCTATTCACGTCCACGTTTTGAAACGGGGTGGGGGGAGGGGGGGGGACACGGCTCCGAGGAGAGAACCAGAGGCGGCGCCGCCTCCGCCGCCGCGACCACTTACCGGAGCCGGTACCCGCCGAGCAGAGCGCCGCCATCTTGGTCCTGGGGACTTCCACAGCAACCGCCTCAAGACCCCGCCCCCACGCGCGGGCGGGCGGGCGGCGGCCACCTTCGCCCTTTTTTTTATGTATTATATATAAGAAAAAAAACCGGACTCACAGACATCTAAAGCGCTCACATGATTCGATGGCAAAATCGGTTTTCTCTTAGTGTTTCGTTTTTGGGGGGGGGGGGTTTAAAAAAAAATAAAACTTTCAGGAACTCGGGTGGACTCCTGTCGGGGGAGCAGGACCCCAACCGCCGCCGTCAGTGCGGCTCAGGCTTCAGGAGGAGGAGGAGCAGCAGCAGCAGCGCCCTCTGCCGGTCTGTGGTGGCGCTGCACACAGCAGATGGCTCTCCCGATTGAAATGCCGCGCAATGATACCAATCCTTTGCATTTGACGGTGATGGAATATGACAGTAATAACCCGAAAGAAAAAAATTGGGGCACTCGATCCCCTACTCCTTTGCGGGGCGCCGCTGCGCGCCGTTGGCCGCCGGCCGCGGGTTCGCCCGCAAAGTGGGCGCTCCGTCCGGTTCCGTTTGGCGGCGCGTCCCGCGGAGGCGCTCTGAGACGCCCCGAAGAACGTGACGAGGCGCCGCATCGAACGCGAGGATCGCTGGTTATCAACAGGTCCCCGAGAAGCCCCGCGAGGGGTTCGCAGGATTTTTAACTTTCTTTCTCAAGGGCCGTATTTGTGCGGTCGGTTGGGGCGCACCGCAAAGTCCTACAAACAACCGTCAACAACAACAACAACAACAACAAGATTCCATTTACAGAGCGCCTTTCACGTCGGGAGGACGTCCCAAGGCGCTGCACAGTTGGGTCATGACCCGAGCATTGGGGGGGAGATGGTCAGGGGGAGGGGAGGGAAGGGAGGGAGCGAGGAGGGGGTAGAGAGTCGAGAGCGGAGCTGAAGGTACGGTCAAAGAGAAAGGTGTTGAGACCGGCCTTGAAGGAGGAAAGGGAGGAGGCGGCGAAGGCACTGGGGGATGGAGTTCCAGAGCCTCGGGGCTGAGAGGCTGAAGGCCCGACCACCGATGGTAGGGCGGTTGGGGCGGGGGACGTGGAGCTGAAGAACGGGGCTGGGGGGAAAAAATCAGCCGGTTCCCCCTTCCTCCTCACTATCTAACCATCCCAGCTGCGAGAGACGTGTATTAGTACGTCGCCGAGCCGATGTGAAAGTTGACGTGTCCCTGCCGAAACTTTTCAGTCGTCGTCTCCCCGAGCGGGTACCAGTGTCGTCACGCACGAAAACCAACTCGACTTCTGAAGGGTGGCGGTTGGGACGCCTGGCGAGGCACGGTTCTCTGTCGGTGCCGGCCGTCACCCAGTCCCGCTGTGCGTTCGCGACGAACGGCCGCAAATGTGGAGGGGAGAGTTGAGCGTTCAGTCGAAAATTTGACGTGCGGTTGGGATCGCAAAAGTCGGGGTGAATCGCATAGCATCTCCATCAACAACAACAACAACAACAAGATTCCATTTATAAAGCGCCTTTCACGTCAGGAGGACGTCCCAAGGCGCTGCACAGTTGGGTCATGACCCGAGCAGGGGGCAAATGGTCAGAGGGAGGGGAGGGAGCGAGGAGGGGGGAAATGGTGAGGGGAGGGATGGGAGGGAGCGAGAAGGGGGAAGAGAGTCGAGAGGGGAGCTGAAGGCTCGGTCAAAGAGAAAGGTTTTGAGACCGGCCTTGAAGGAGGAGAGGGAGGAAGCGGCGAAGGCACTGGGGGATAGAGTTCCAGAGCCTCGGGGCTGAGAGGCTGAAGGCCCGACCACCAATCATCACCATCACCAAAACCGACCATTCAGCCCACCTCCTGTGTACTCCATGCAAGCCGTCATTCGTCCTAATTCCCCTCGCTGGCCCCTCTACTCCTCTACTCATTTTTATTAGGACGAATGACGGCTCTCGCCCCAGCCCCGTTAAAACATGATTTGAGGTTCCAACTCAGCTCTGTCATAAATTTTCGGGAAATCCCCTCGACAACTCGCAAATCAGGCAAGGTTCCAGATCCTGATTTTACCCAGCGATCCGTTATTTATGGCCATCGGAAGAGCACATCATTCGGTTGGGATGTTCCACCACGATTGAATAATACGCACAATGTCAAGACTCACACACGCAAATACCTGGCAAGGAACTATATTTCAGTAAACGATTTCTGGTGAGGAGGAGGAGGAGGGGAGAAAGTTAGAAGGTGGAAAAATCATAATTCACTAACATTAATTGATTTAATAAGTTGACTTTTTAAAGGTTATGTTATCTGCAGACAGAAGCATTTCATAGTATTTGAGCATTCACAAAAGAGTCAGAAGTATTTAAAGATCTTTTAAGAGAGCTTGGAAGACAAGCCATTTCTGTTTTTACACACACACACACACACATATACAGCCATCCCTGTCGGACCACAAACAAACATACAATAGCTTCACAATCAGAGAACCATGATGTCGGTAGAAAATCATTTTTATTTTTTTCCCCCAAATTTGTCACTGCCGCAAAATGAGTATATGTCTAAACTACTAGCAAATAAATAATTGTAAGAGCAGATTCTAATAGGAAAATATCTAAAATTGTTCAGTGAGATGCTGGGGTGATGTTGAATAATGAAAAAAATATTTTATTGTTTTAGATAAAACATTATTTAACTCATGCAACATTGTATTTATAACTTAAAGCTTACAGATGTCAAACTAATGTCAACATAGTGCACAAAATTAGCTACTAAAATTCCAAATCGGCAAATTCTTTTTAACACATTGTCATTTATGAGCAAACAATTTGTTTTAAGCAGCTAGTGTGTTTTGTTTTTAATATTCTGTGCGGTGACTGCTAAGTAGAATCTCACTCCCTTTAAGAAATCCCTGACTATGAATTACAGTTACAGATTTTATTTAAAAATATTCTCGAAACACAGCATCTTTAGCTTGCCTTTCTGGCATATTTTAAGACAGAAACATTAGAAAGAACCCAGACAGAGTACATTATTATTCACTTCGACTTAGCAAAGTTGCAAATCAAAATGTAAATTTGTTCCTTTATTATTAAACAGTTTTAGAAATAACATAAATGACAATCATTGCTCCCAAGTATATGAATGTGCAATTCTCTGATGAGCTAAGTAATGGATTATAGTACCAACATTATAGTTATGGTGGAACCGTACTGGGCTGGAGAAGCAAGAGTATGAAAAAGATTCTTAAGAGGTTATTTACTCAATATCGCATGCCTGCTTTGCAATAGACATTCATTGTACCAATGGGAACTAAACTCACTATTAATTTTTAATGTTGCTGAGTGTCTGTCCGGGGTGGAAACCAATGCAGTGTGTCAACTTAGTGCCTTACCCTTAACAACCTGCCTGGGGATTGAAGTCCCACAGATTATTTGAAAACGATTTAAAGCATATGCTATGGAAACGGTATCAGCAAAAGGGAAGCTGCTACTTTTGCAGTTGCTCTGATGGCTGAACAGCATACAGTAAGATTCATTCACACTTAACATAAAAACCATTTTGGCTTATTATGCTATAATGAGAAGATTTCTAACAACAACAATTTGCATTTATATAGCGCCCCTCACGCAGAGTTGGGTTTTCAGGCTGCTCACATATAAAACAATGAATTCATCACGAGTAACGGAAGTAAAATCTCACGAGAATTCTCATATAACTCCTTTGAAGGGGGTTGGGGCGTATGTAAGAATAGGAATGGACCTCTGTCTATCCCAGTTGCTTTAATTATTCTTGTTATTTGTTTTGTTATGGCAAATGGATGTACAAGTCATTCACTGCATCTGACATCACGACACTGCACTGCTTGTAACTCGCTGCAGGAGACTACCACAATGCATCTGGTTGGCATTGGCTCCCAATCTAACACCCAGAGCTGACACTAATCCTCAAAATGCTTCGCAATAGCAGGAACCATGGGCGTGGTCAATGTGGGTGCCTGCGTCCATCTGCACATGGGTTGGTGTTCCAACCATGTTAAAAGTGTGAGCTTCCATTGTGCAGTGTAGATCATATTTGTACAAAGTATATATGTGCACCCCAAACACGGTGCTGCTCTGGATTGTTCCCTTTTCAATTGTCTCATTGCATTTCCTGAAGGTGTTGAGTTGTGCCGTGGTACACATTTTCAGTGGTGGTTATTCTTCATAGTGATTACACAGTGAATGAGCCAGTCTATTAAATTATGATTATCAATGCCAAGACCAATCTTGCCCTCCATCACCTGACATACACCCGCATTCACTTTCCTGGAATCCCCAAATAGTGAATCGTTGCAGAAATTCTCCTAACTAAGGGTGATTTTGCTTAATTGTTGAACCCCAACTGCAGCCCCAAGCACAGATCAAGCATGGGACCCTCTGATGTGATCTAAACATGAATGGAAGATGCAGCATCCCAACTGTGTGACCTGTTAAACCTGGTAATTTAGACACTTCAAAGATATTTCCCCTGGGATTAGCAATCAATTATCTATGAAACCCATCCATCAGTGAAACCCAGCTCGTAATTCATTGATGATATGACTTTACTACATTGCAAACTGTACTGCAATCCATGAACATGCTTCCAGATCTCTTATGCCTACTTTAGAAAGTACATTGTTGAGCTATGTACCAGGATACTTTAGTCTGTCACTGGGAACTGAAACATTTACTTTTTTTTGATGAAAATACTTATCAATCGTAGATGAGCATATTGAACAAAGCCATCTATTGGGAAGTGTGAAATTCTTTCTAATCTAACAACTTTCAAGAACTAATCATTATTGTAGTATCCCTGCTGGTTCCACTCCAAGGGATACAAAACAGTTTTAAGTTGAAACGTGAATTGGCCTTGGACGCCACGCCAGTGTTGCATTTGGTTAAAGATTTGCCTGCAATGTATACTGGCATGTGATTTAGGAAATGTAATGTGTGTTTAGATAGAAGTAACATGACATTTACACTCATAACTCAAACAATTTTGATGAATTTTGGTTCTAACCCAGACTCTATTTGAAAGATATCCTAACCGTGAGTTAATGGCCGGGAGAGAGTAAAAGAGAGTAAAAGTGAAAGAGACAGAAAAAATGCGAGACACACACACAGAAAGAAAGAAATGCATTCACTCTAAACCCACAGTCTTAATAAAACTTGTTGGGAGTTCAGAAAGCTGTAATAAAGAATCACCAGCTACATTATAGAGCTGGTGTCATCCATTATCATCCATTACCCAACAACAACAAAAACAAGATTACATTTGTATAGCGCCTTTCACGTCGGGAGGACGTCCCAAGGCACTGGACACTTCATCAACCACATGTTCGTCAACTACCTTTAAATGCAATCTTCTCAATAAATAAAAGTGATTCCTTCTCATTGTGATTTCACAGCATCGCTGGGCTCTGTGAAAGGCAGCAGTGTAAACGGTGCCTTTATTAATACTTGACTGAACTCCCTGGCAACATTTCTAACCAAACAAGTAGAGGGATGTGGGGAGAAAGGGAAATATAAAAGAGCAGATATGGCAAAGTTAATAAAGTTCCTATTTCACACTGTGATCTTTATGATATAAATCTTTCACTGCACATTCTCCATGTGGTGGCCACTCATACTCAAGTGTCAAGTTGGGCTGCCTGGATCGGTCCCTCACTGGGTTTACCACATTCGAAAACTCACCATTGCAATACGTCTACAATGCTTAATGTGTAGAATTACCACCAAAATTATCACCCATTTTGTTTCTGTATAATGTGGTGCAGAACAGCAGGATTGAGGTTGTCAGGAAATACAGGCCGAGTATAAGTAACTTTTATATTTTTATAAAACAACTGTTCACACAGGAATTGCCACTTAAGAATCCATGCTGCACAACAAGAAATGCAGAGCAATAAACAGATTATCACTCCAGTGGGTCTCCTCGTCTCCTCAACTTGCTCTCATCTATGAGCGAGACTCCCGGCAGCTCAATCGTGTCTTCAGCATTCATTAATTAGGGGTCATTCATGTCCAATGCACAATGGATCATCATTGGTGCCATATCCTTGATTTCCCCCACCACCCCCCACCCCACAAGGGACCACAAACCCTCTATTTTAAACACGATCCTAGCAGTGCTTTAAACTGAGTAGTTCGCTTCCACCTTTACGACGTGACTTTTTTTTCCATATAAAATCAGTTCTAAAAAATATACCACAACATACGCAGTAAGTTGCGGCGTTTCTTTAACCCTTTCCTGCAGTTTTTTCCCCCAAAACATTTTATTCCCAGCTGCACACGCTCAAAGACAAGGCAGGGTTTTTCACAGGATGAGATCGCAAATCAACAGTTCCAAAACACCTCAATTCGCCCATAAGCAAATTTAAAGGGGCAGTGTCATCATTGCAGGAATGGGAACAAAGCAGGACACATGATCAGTGCAATTGACCAGAGTGGCATAAATGGATAAGACATTTATAAATGTATTTAGTATTTCTTTTAGAGTGACTGAGCTCAAAACTGGTTAAATATTTCGCTGCCCTCCCAATTTCCACTGAATCATTCTGGAGTACGAAGTTCTTGTGCTGATCATCCTGTCATACGTGAACAGAGGCAGACAGAATGTCAGGATGCTATTTAACTGAGGGGTCATCACAGCAAAACTCGAGTTCCCCAAATGTCCTCAAACATACATACACAAACCTGCTTTCCACCAGGCTTCAGCCCATAACATTGGAAAACATGGCTGATTCATTTTTCCATTCCAAGCTCTGAGGCATAGAGGCCAATTGTAGTATCTGCAGCAGAGTTTGAGTGTAAACTACAGGACTACGGGGAAAGGGCAGGTAAATGGGACGGAAAGGATTGCTTTTTAAAAGGGTCAACACGGACACTGGGCTGAAAGGCTGTAAATTCTATGTTTTCTAGGGCCTTTCATGTGACGACAGTAATGGCTTACTTATACAAGAATCATATTTAAAATCAAATTATGGGAGACCCACAAACTTTGTTTTAACCCTTAAAAAAAAGTATTTCTTGGATACACAAGTGCTAACAGCCACGTCTGTCTGTCATAACAGTTCCTGTGATTCTGCTTGAGAATATCTCTCAATGTTGATGCCACTCCTTTAATTATCTACCTTTTTTAAAAAAAAAACTCAAGAGGCATCACTGGGTCCCCAACTCATATAAACTGGAGACACTCTATATATGGCTCTGCAGCTTTTTTTCTCTGTTTTATAAAAAAAATTAAAACATTTTGGCTCCCAAATCGTTACAGCATTTGTTGGGAGTGAGCGCTCCCAGGCAAAATGATTAACTTTGAGGGTTGAATAAACACAATATGTTTGATCTAATGGAATAAATCCTGAGCAGCCCCGAGTACTGTTATAAATTTATGAAAACCTTTCAACGTGAACAACAACAGAACAAAAAAAACTAGTAAATTAAGATTTCAAAAGCAACAGCATTTATATCCAGATGACACCAGATTTCACATGTTTTGCATTCATAATGGATGCCAGTTCAGAAGATAATTCCCTTGGAGACTCACTGAACTGAAATTATGTGAGAGGAGGTTGTCACTTTTTAAAAGTGAGCAGCAACCCAATTAATTACTCGTCTGAATAGAGCAAATGACGTTATCACAAAATGCCGGATATTTTACAATTCCCACATTTGAATATGAAGGGTCCACAAAAATTCAGACACAGAGAGAGAAAACACTTTGCATTGAAATGCTGTCTTATTTACACGTTTCTGTGTTTATACGGTGGTGGAGGGGAGGGTTTGGTGGGGGGATGCAGAGGTGAAGCAGGGAGCTCTGATTCATGGCAAATAAGTTCACTCCCTTCTTTCCAATCTGGTGTCTTTACCAACATTACTGGGAATATTCCATTATGGTTAATGATTAATGTGGAAAATCATTAATTCATGGGGTGGCACTGCGGGGTGGAGAGGCAAGAATATAACATATTCCAATCCTGTACATTGATACAATTAAAAACTGATTTCAGAATTAAAATGGGTTAAGAAAAGATCCTGCCTTACTCCCGCAACCAAAATCATAGTGAAATAAAAAGGGGGAACCTTAATTTTCTGTGACATGTCAGGAATCTCACAATAGATGATTAATGATAATTGCTGATGTGCACAGCCAAGACATTTTGCACTATGAACCGGCAAGCCAGTTTCTGAGAACTCAAGAACGCTGATAGAGCTTTTGAAAGGAGGAAAATTTCATTGTGGATTAGAGAGAATTTACAAGGAATGGGGAAATCTATTGTAGGCTTCGTACTTTCTCCTCAGCCTTCATTCAGATGATCTAAAAGCGGAAATGTTGACGCATAAGAATAATTATAATAATAGACCAGATTTCAAGACAGTCACCACTACAAGATTCATAATTGACCTATTTTTGGTCTATGGATGTGAATAACTTGAATAATTTTACTACTGGGCGACACAGTCTCAGCCAGCTTGGGGCGAAGATTAAAAAAAAAGTGACATTGAGGATGCTGCAAAGTCTATAATTGGCGCTCCTCCCAGTTGATGGAGGTACACAGAATACATTGTAACAGCACAGAAAACATAGGGAGAAGGGATTAGACCGTTTTCTCTTATAGAAAGTTCACTGGTGTCAACGTTAGTCGCAAGGGATGTTCCGATGATGGATAATTAAGGGATAAGCCAACAATCAGCACAGATGAAATGAATGTGCACAGCTACGACTCAACGTTGAAAATCTTGTGGACTGCAGCAACACAACCGGCAAAGATTAGACTGGGCTGGGAAGGCATTTTACTTAGGGCCACTGGCTGTACAAAATTTCAACCCTGAATTTAATCTTTTCAAATCAGAAAAACATCAAGAATCAATACAGTGCAGACTGTGTTGAGATCTAAATAGCATCAGTCACTGAACTGACACAAATGCAACCAGCTTCTTGCTTAAGGAACCTGCACGGGCACTGAATGAGGTTTAAAAGCTTCGCTGTCTATTGCCAATAGCTCCAGACACACTATGTGTACCGTGTCACAATGTAGTGCCTCCTGGTCACACGTTTGACCGGTTTCAGCAACTTGGCTTTGTTTCTGTATGTTCTATTTCTGGATCTTTATATTCAATTGTGCACTCGGGTGGTCTACAGAGAGACCCCTTAACGCTCTGATGCAAACAACTCTGTTTTACAGACTGATTTTAAAATTACAGACATAAAAATTTCCTCTTCACCTCCAAGATCCAGTACAATCTGGAAGACCAAACAGCTCAGTCATCATTGTGTTAAGAATTCGAAATAATCTGTAGTCCCAAGGCTACCATTTCTCAATATGGCTCAAGTAGTCTTCTGTGGGCATTCGGCCCTGCTCTTCGATTTCCTCTTTGGGCATCTCCTCGCTAACCCTTCCCAGCTGTTCCTCCCGATTGCGTATCCGCTGCTCCATCCTTTCCAGCTGCCTCTTGTACTGGAACCGCTGTTGGAAAAGATCCTTTGCATAGTCATAGAGCTGCATGTCCAGATCGTTGAGCTCCTCGATGCGTTCGATCGTCTCGTTGCTGGTCTCCACGCCCGCTGCGCGAGTGCTGTTGAATTGCACAAAGGGCTTAATGAACTGTAGGTGAAAAGTCTGCTCAAACAAGTACTGCGTTTTCCTTTGGAATTCAGTCAAACCAAAAAACGCCATGTCCTTGAGATTCTTCTTGGCGCTTTCTAGGAGGACCTGGGCCCTCTTCTTCTCAGTGATGAAGGACATGTTGTAGCAGCCCACCAAGCTGAGATCTGCAAGCATCCTCACCTGCCGATTGTTGGCCAGATTGTACGGGCAGTCCATAAATTGCTGGAGAGTGCAACCTGACCAGTCAATCCCGTCATAGCAAGTTGGTAGTTCCTCTAGTGTCGGTGTCCTCCCATCGCACATGTGTAGTGAAGTCTTCCACGTGGCTCCTCGTTGGACGTGCCTCCACTCACTGAGATAGCGCGACACAGGATCCCGCAACATTGTGATGTAATAGAACTTCCTACAAAAGAAAAAGTGACAACTTGTTGAGCAAAAGGATAATTTTCAGTTCTATTACTAACACGTCACAAAGATGCAAGCAACAACATTTCTTCTTCATCCAAAAGATGGTCTTTAATGTTCTTTGGAGATTACTATGTTATGGGATCAATTTCAGCACTGGACAAGAATACATCCTTTCTGATGGTATCTTCTATTCAATTTATCTAGCAAAATTTAGCTGACACTGCTAAGCAAATGCAGTGGAACCTCGTTGTAACAAATGGTTCTCTAGCTCTGAACAGAAGCTCGATTCTAGTCTCTTAAGAGCAACTCAAGGTCCAAAAAATGTCCTCAGATTCATGCATTTGTAGTAATTGGATGCACATACTTACTAAGCCATTTACGTTTTAAAGCGGTGATACATAATGCTGTTGTCAAACCACAAATTTGGTGCCAAACATGTTCTGGTACTGGTGTAAATTTAATGTCAAGTAAGCTAAGCCACACATATTATTGGCTACTTTCCTCTAAGATCGCACCTGCACATATGCAGCTCTGAATTTGAAGGAAATTGGATGTGGGAGGCAGTGTTATTTTATATATCCTCACCAGCACCTGGAGGAGTGTGTAGTATATTAGTATAATGGCAACATCAGTCCTGGAGGATACAGTTTACACACAATTACCCCTCTTCTCACTGCCTTCTCTTTCTTGCCATCAGAAAACAGTTTGTCATTTTCTCCTCTCAATATTCTCTTCCAAGCCCTAAAGTCATCGAGCATTATATTACTGTAGTTATATTCCTGTAGTGACAAGAACATTTTTCCAAACAAGATAGATTCCGCGCTGCAATAAATGTGGACAAGCATATATTTATCTGATCCAGCCAGAGAACTCCCCTGACCATTTATTCTCCCTGTCGAAGAGGCCTGTTCCTATAATAATAATTGTTAACAAATGTATTTTGCATTAGCAGGATTCAGTGACCCCCAGGACAGTCTCCCTACAGTCGTTTCCTTACTTCTGAAGTCCACGGCCCATTTTTGGGTACAACAACAAAAACATTGCAATTTACATTTATACAGCAAGTTCCACATTGTGAGGATGCCTCAAACTGCTTCACAAGGCTGACTGGATATCCAAGCTTGGGGGTGGTGGGGGGGTGGGAGGAAGAGTTTTTGATCAAAGCCAATTTTTATTTTACCTATTAACCCATTATCAATGCCATTTTCATATCCATAATGGGAGCAGTTTGTGAGGATAAGGAGTCTCTATTGTACTACTGTAAATTCTGGCTTGGTGATTGGTGTAGGGGATTCTTCACGGTCCTCAGCTACACAAACAACCCATTAATTTAACAAGGAAAATATGACTCCTGTTCCTAAAACGATATCACACACAGGGTGGCAAGCTGAAAGGCTGCAGGCCAGCGTTTGTTTTGAAGGAAAACACAGCTAAAAATTAGGCTGATTGGTGCTTCCCCCAGAATAAATTATAATCAAAGTCTAAGTGATTACATAAATAATTTACGATTCATTATCCATTGAGAGAATTATATGAATCCAGTTTACCTCATTACCACATAATAAAGATCAAGGGCTGCTTTACGGGGCAGATGTAATCTCCCCTTTCGCCCACAAAACATACAGTCAATTCACTTTACAGTATATTCTGTGAAGCGCGTTGAGACATCTCGAAGATGTGATGAGGCGCTATATCGAATGCAAGGATTATTATTATTATTTTCATAGCAAACGAGTCTGAATGTTGTCTTTAAAATGCAATGTTGCTTACAAATTGAAAATTAAACAAATTCAGTACGATGTTGATGTGATGACTTTGTTTACCTGAGACTAACAGCCAGAGGGATAAAGTGTTCTTTTTGTCATTTATGTTTGTTTGTTCTTTAAGCTTCAGCTGTAATACTGAGAAAGAACAGCTTAGCCAGCGACCAACACGCTCTCATTTCACTAAGGGAGCTTCTTTTGAAGGTCACTGGTGATCATGTACTCAGTAAAGCTCACAAAGTGAGTGATCAGGAACCGAAACAATTTGTGGTTTCACTCTCCGTAACTCTGCCACATTGAAGCCAACTGTAGCCTCAGATGAATTCAGTAAACTCAGGAAGGGGACCTTCCGGGAATTTTTATGACTTTTACATAAGGGCACAAAAAAGTGCAGCGATTTTGTCAACAAGAGCCATTGGGGAACTGTAGAAGGGGCAACCCTGCAATGCAGTATTGGGCCTGCCCGCAACAAACTGGATGAGGAGATCCTTCTGTTGGATTCTGCTCATTTCCACTTCACAAAATGTCGTGCAGGGGTCTATCAAATGCCGATTGCTGATACCAGCAATCTTTCCATTACGTGCTTAGAATGGGAAATTATTCACTGCTTTCTGCTCGTTGCACACAAAAGAGTCAGAGCAGATTGCTGCAGTAACAGAAATACTAGATTTGGGCTATTCGATAAAGCTTAACATTTAGATTTGTGCCACTGACTGGCTTCATTACCTGCCGAGTGCACTGCGTGTGCAAGGGAGGAACGATGGTAATTCAGTCAGCAGAAGGACTTTTCGTGCTGAGATTTTCCACTTATATATATCCTGGTGGGAATGCTAAACCATTATGGGTCAAGGCTTTTGGGCGTGTCAGCATTCTAATAATTACCAGAAGGTGCTAATGATTCTGTGACAATGACTGGTGGGGGGTGGGCAGCGACTGTAACCGTGACACTTAGGAGGACAAGACTGGACTATCAATGAACGATCAGGCTGCTATATAGTCTTTCACCATCAGCAGGTTTTCCTGCAGGAGGTTTTCTATTCCTTGGGGAAAGGTGGGTGGAGGTGAAGAGTCAAGCTTTGCATTTTGTTTTGATGGGCTGCAAAGTAACAGTAACTAGAAACTCAACCTAGCAAAAAAAAATCAATAGGACTGGAGGCCAAGGTTAATGAAGTTGATGCCACTGACAATGGTCTGTTGTACCTTCGTGTTGCAAGGGATGTGGAGAGATGGTGTACATTTAGAGCACAGATACAAGGAAATACAGTTCAGCGGTGGGACATTTATAAATATAGTGGCTGATCATTCACCCAGCTGGATTGAAAACTGTTTTGACAATAGAAAGCTGAGAGTGATGATGAATATAAATTGACTGTATGTGGGGGACAGCAACCAGCAATTCCCACAGGATGTGCGTAAGGTTCACTTTTGTTCACGCCAGTCACAAATGATACAGAACAGAACTCTTTCATGCAATATTTACAACATTTGCTGACGACACTAAGAAGTAATGTGGCCAAGCCACAAAGACAGCGAGACTGACAACGTTCAAAGGGATCTGAACCAATGCTGTGTTTATCCAGGAATGGAATTTAATGCTGATGAATGTGTTGTGGTCAAACCAACTGATAGTGGACTGGAAACTCATTGTGACTGGGAGAATCAACAAGCTCCAAGCTTATAAAGAGACCACAAATTCAGAGGAGAGCAAACCTTATCAGATTTTTTTTCAAAACTATTAAAGCTATTCAATATTAAATTGTAGCAGATTAAGGAAATGCCATTGTAAGGAAATATACAGTGTACAGTCAGATGCAGTGGATGTTAAAGATTCTCTGGCACGATTTGAAATGCCAATGGAGTTTTTCCCAGTGTCCTGGCCAACAATCCCGCAAAATAAAATAAGGCATTCATTTCTTGGCTGTTTGTGGGACACTGCTGTGTCCAAATGGGCTGCCATATTTGGTGACAAATACACATTTAGAGTAAATTATATGAAGCAATTGAGACGTCCTTCTAACATGAAAGACGCTATACGAAATGCATGGATTATTTATCATTATTATTATTTTGCCAACTCCCAAGACAGCACTGGCAAAATATTGAAAAGCTGCTTCCAAAATAAAATTTAAAAAAATTAACTGACAAGTGACAACACTAATAATAATAATCCTTGAATTTGATATAGCGCTTTTCACGTCTTCTAGGCGTCTCAAAGCGCTTCACAGAATATACTGTAAAGTGAGTTGACTGTATATTTGTGGGCGAAACGCGGCAGCCAATTGTGCACAGCAGTGTCCCACAAACAGTCGTGGATTGAAGTTACCAAATTATTATTGTTTTTTTTCTTGAGGCATTATTATCAGGTGTGTGGAGTATGGAAACTTGCCCAAGGTTTCGCCCTGCCGGGAATCGAACCCAGGTCTCTTGCTTGTGAGGCGAGTGCTCTAACCACTGAGCTACAGGATACGACTACAACAATTAGCAGGGAGCAACACACTATTCCCAAGTGGGAATTCTCAAACAAAAAACATTCGAGCCAATAGTTGTGAATGGAAATAGAAACGCAGAAACATTTCCTTAATCAACGGCACCTATCAGTTCAAATTTACAAGACTGAAAACTGCGTGTGTATTTAGTGGTTGCAGTTCAATGCCTCCCTGCAGGTTCTCCTCAGGCTCTTCCTCTAACCCAGGCTGCATTCATTATTAAAGGTGGACGATTTGGCAGAGAGTAAACATCTCTTAGCCTTTTCCTCCTCTCTTTCTTTCCTTCAGGCACCAACTTAAGCTAGGATATGGTTACACAGGCACTGGCATCCCTCCAATAGCTAGCCCACGTGATATTCTTCATGCAGGAGCCGAGATGATGACTACAGACAGGGTATTCAATCATGCAGAGCATTACAGCTGAAGCTGAGTCTGACTCAATGTCCAGACGCTGCACTTTGCTGGAGAAGGTCAGTGGATAGCAATCAGGGGCATGGACCTGAGCTAATTCTTCCCTTCTCCAGCCAAGGATTTCAAGGCCAATTTTAGCATCCCCAGCCCTTCACTGGCAAAGATCAGCAGACTTCGGTTTAGGCAAGAAATCAAATCTGCGACCTTGTAAGATATAAGCTACTGTACCTGCGGAGGATAAAGCAAGACAATCCCAACCTCAAATCGTAGTGTGTGCAATGGAAACTTGGAATTAGACTCGAAAAATACTCATCACTTGAAATAATCATTGAATT